GTTACCATTACAGAAAATTATGAACACTTGCACATCTCATAAAAAATTAGACACATTTCAGAGCTTATATAACCTATATTGACACATCCTATACGCTTAGAAGACAAGTTTATAAATAACAAACTGCTAAAAATTAACAAAAAATGGATTTAAGAAGCTATAACCTTACAAATTAAAGTTTATCATTGCGGTGTGTACAGCCTCCCAACTGAATGATTAGCTCACACTGTAAATGTAGTGTAATTGCAAAAGCCAGTAGTTACGTATCTCCTACATTCTTTCACTACACAGTTCTGATGCAACCTCTTGATGCCTAATTACTCAACCATTACGATTTTCAGAAAAATGGTGAAGACGCCAGTTGAATTTAATGGCAAAGCAACCACGGGAGATCTCCCAAAAATCTTAGTGTTTCTGAACACTCCACCGCATCATCATCATATGTAACCAAAAGAAGTCATAAAAATAAAAAAAAATTGGTCCAAAGGGGATGCAAACTAATTCTTTATGACTTTGATAACTTACTCTTTTGTAAAACAATTTATGTACTTATTCCTACTCTTTAATCTTTGTACCTCACCTCCAGTATCTGAACCACGGCAGTCTTGGCTACAAGATAAATATCTACCACGCACACCAGCCCCCCCTCCCCCCCCCATATCGGACACCTATCAGCTGAAGCTCATCTTAATAGTAAGGGAATAAATCAGTACTTCTTCCACCACAAATCAATCAAAGCACTCAATCACCTCACATGTGCCAATCCGCTTATGGAAAATACGATAAGGGTATGTATCTTTGGGGTTTAGTAATGTTGTGCAGAGGAAACCTCAAAGAAGGAAAATATTNAGAACGTTCTCTGAAAACGCCGCACCTGACGGTGGACCAATGGCAGAGGACAATGAGCATATGGAAGCTATGTTTGAAGCATTAGCGTTTAAGTTCGCCTTTTGTATCTCTGATTATCTATATATGCTCACGGGACTTGATTTTAACGATCACGAGAATGGTGGCGTTTAAGATATAAACGATCAGTCTAGGATTGTTAATATTTTGTGTATAAGATATAAACGATCAGTCTAGGATTGTTACTATTTTAAGAGGACGGAACTATATATTATCTTCCTTGAAACAACATAATCACAAAACAAACACAACTATTTACATTTTTCATTTACAAACATGAACTTTACTTTATGTTTAAGTATTTACTAAATTAACTTTGTAAAGTCTATCAAATTTTTACTATATTTTTATTTGTTTCGATTAATAACAACCACTTATGCTACTCCACTAATAATCAGAAAAGATCATTGTCTTCAACATAGTTACAACATCAAATTTCTGAACATAGATCTCTTCACCAAGGCCACAAAATAAATCGCACCTTCTTTTATAATAACATATATGAATCCGGCGCTACTGAATCCGGCGCGTAGCGCCGGTACACCACTAGTATTCATATATAAACGCGTTTTCAACTATTTTAAAGCGTTTCTTTATAGCTTAAAATCGCGTTTGTTTTATTATGTGCCTTTAATGTGCATGTGAATCTTGATTATTTGATAAAGGGAACAATATATTACTACAACATTACATAACGAAGTCTCGAAAATTAGGGGAATATTCCAGTGCCGCCAAAGTTCAAGAAGAAAAGTCCAAAACTAAAATATTAAATAAATACTATTAATAATATTAGGAATCTTAAAACATGATTACAGTATGATTAAAGTGCAAATTACCTAAGAAATGGTAACAAGTCAGCCCAACAACCTGACGAACTCTCGTCCTTCCAAAAATTCACCTGCATTTTGTCAGTTATGTCTCTTATAGTTTCTTTCAATTAATTTATCATTGTAATTATTTTACTTTTCAGTAGGATGTACAAAAGCACATACAGTTAATTTACTTTTGTTTTAAAATCGGTATTATAAATTTTTTGATATATCATAAAGTTCAGAAGTAAAAGATGATCTACGTGTAGCACGTAAAACGGTATTCTAATATTATGTAGGAGATCTGTTCTACAAACCAATTTCTAATGTAAATAATTACGATGACATTTTAAGAATTATTATGATTCATAGTCCTCATCTATATTAACTAAGTTCTTTTAAATACGAAAGCAAAAATAAACACTTGATATATTGGGAGAAAAAACTTTGCTAAAAAAAAAGAAAAAGGAACATTGCAAAAAAGATCCTTGTAGAAAAGCATTAAAAGATACTCGTATCTACCAATTTTCATTCTCAAATTTTAAGCAAAAAAAAAAAAAACCTTTTCCTCGATTCCAAAGACTATTCGTAATATTTCGAGTTGTAAATGTTTCTTCGCACACAAATAAGAAACGACGTAAAAAAATTTACAAGACTACTTTTACCGTGATTTTACTCCTAATTGGTCAATATAAATGTTTTAAGAGGCAAGAATAATAGTTTAAACTTTAAATTCAGTTTAAAATCTTTTACAAAAAAAAACTCAGTTTAAAATACTTTATTTATCAATTAAAAGGAAAAACGAATATTTAAAGTGGGGTACTTGAAAGGAAGAGTTTTTAATGTCGCATGGGTTTTGTTTTCACTGACCACGACTCCACCAGACGATTATTCTTTTTTGCCTATTTAGGTTCTTAAATGATTTGTCGTATGTTGTTGGATTTTACCTTATGAACACGTGCATGGGTACACGTGCCTTGCAGGCTTTGCTCTCAGCAAACGAGAGATGTAAACTATCGCCGTTGGATCTGTTTGCGTCTTTGACCACCCTTAATTTACGGAAATGTAAATCTCAATTAGTCAATTATGAAAAGAATCAATAAAGCGTTGGCTATCATATAATCTGTTAACAACAATTTAATTTAGTTTTCTCAGAATTAATCCATTAATCAACTTCTAGATTGCATTTTGATGCTGTAGATCACGTCGTTGTGGTAACCAAAATAAGGAAGAAGTCTTAACTTACCACATAATTATTGATGCCTTACCAAAACGTCAACCGAACCTAATTGATATGAAAATATTTTTAGCTTGTAACGCTATCACATTATATACATCATGATTGTAATGAAAAACAATTTCTCCACGTACTAAAAATATAATAAAGAGTAAATAAATAGTAGCAAATAGAAAAGGCAGACATAGTAACTTTCTATGTGTCACGACGCACTGCCACTGCCACTGATAAACATCAAATATTGAAGAAAATAGTAGTCAGGTAAAGTTTATATAGTTAATTTCCAACGTCATTAACTTTTTTTAACTAATAAACAGATAAAAATGGGAAAATATGTGAAAGTTTTATTATAAATAAAAATGGCTGCGAGAGTCTGATCAAGGTGCTTATATAAATGAAAGATGAATACTATTATTTCTATTACACATATTTGCTTAAGTATGTAGGGTCGGTGTGTGCCTATATAACTTTTCTTTTGTATTTTCCTATCATTCTAATTACATAAGATTCTAAGTGTTTCTAGTTTTTTCGTTCTCTCTTAATTTTCCTTTAGATCATCTCTCATATTAACCTTCTCTTCTGTATCTCTCAACAAAACTTTCGTCCAGAACAAGTCATGACAGCTGAAGAGCAGACAATCTCTAGTAGTGGAGGATATGTCCAAAGCTCATCAGCAACTGATCATGTCGATCATCGTCATGACCATGAACCCTTTATTTCTCCTCTTGCTAAGAAGAAGAGAAACCTCCCTGGAAACCCTGGTAATAATCAAATAACTAAGTTTAATATATATATCACTATATATTAAACCCTAATTAAGAAATAAAAATGTTAAAGAAAAAAGCATCTTTGATCTGTTTTTTTTTTAACTTGATCTATAAACTTTCATGCGTTCTACTGATAAGATCTTTTATATGATCCATTATCAAAATAAAAAAGTATTGATTATTTCTATATCTTCAGATCCAGAAGCTGAGGTCATAGCTCTATCTCCAAAGACACTTATGGCCACAAACCGTTTCCTCTGCGAGGTATGTGGAAAAGGCTTTCAAAGAGACCAGAATCTACAGCTTCACCGTCGAGGACACAACCTCCCATGGAAGCTAAAGCAGAGGACAAGCAAAGAAGTAAAGAAACGAGTGTATGTGTGTCCGGAGAAGAGTTGCGTCCATCACAATCCAACAAGAGCACTCGGAGACCTTACCGGAATCAAGAAACACTTTTGTCGCAAACATGGCGAGAAGAAGTGGAAGTGTGGTAAATGCTCCAAGAGATATGCAGTCCAATCAGATTGGAAGGCTCATTCAAAGACTTGTGAGACTAGAGAGTATAGATGTGACTGTGGCACAGTTTTCTCCAGGTATTTAATAGATCTTCACATTTCTTAATTCATCACAGTATTTTAATTCTGGTACTAGGGGGCATAACATGATCAGTTTGCTTTCAAACATTTGAGTAACTATCTAATTAGTATAGTTAATTGATCATGTTTGAATTTGCATTTTTCTTTTCTTTTTGGAAACTCATGCTAAACATATAGTCTAATTAACGGTACTAAACTATTTATTATTCAACTATATATGTACTAAAATATCATTGGACTATATAGACAAACAATTTTTTTTTATTATGTTGTTTGTAACTAAGATAAAATAATTGTTTAGTTTGTTGTTGGACTTGTTGGGAGTACTTGTAGCTAGGGTCTATAACTAAATAACTTGAAGAGTTTAATTTTGAATAATAATTTGTCATTCTCTGAGAGTACGTAAGTAAGTGCTGCTTAATTTCTTGAATAATAGACTTTTTTGGATTACCATATTTGATTAATTGTTGTCTGGTTATTTTTTTTGTAAACAGGAGAGACAGCTTCATAACACATAGAGCGTTTTGTGACGCTTTGGCAGAAGAAACCGCTAGGTTAAACGCAGCTTCTCATCTCAAAAGCCTTACTAGTAATAATCTAAATTACCATTATCTAATGGGCACACTCATCCCATCACCACAACCACCATCATCGCTCCCATTTGGAGCACCGCAACATCACCACCATCATTTCCCCATCACAACCACCACCTTCGATCAGCATCATCATCATCATCAAGACGCAATGAAACCTACTTCTTCACTCTCCCTATGGATGGGAGGAAATATCAATCATCATCAAGCGACCAACGAGGACTGTACGCAGCCGCAGTCACCGCAGGAGGATTATAATTGGGTTTTTGGAAACGCAAATAATAGCGGCGAGTTAAGCGATTCACTCATCACACATGAAAATATCAATAACTTTGCACATAATGAAAACGCAAACGCGGTTACTTCTCTTTCCGTGCCATCTCTTTTTAGCAACGTCGACCAGATCAGGCAAGACGCTAACGCAGCGGTTGCAAATATGTCGGCAACTGCGTTACTTCAAAAAGCGGCTCAAATGGGCGCGACTTCTTCTAGTCCGACGATTACTAACGACCAGTCAGCGTTTCTTCAGAGTTTCACGTCGAAAATCTCGTACAAGAGTGAGATTATAGATGATGGTGGCAGTGACAAGTTCTTCGCTTTGTTTGGATCGAACAGTGTCGGTTTAATGAGTAACCCTAGAAATAGTGTTACGGTCGTTTCGGGAATTAATGAATTACAAAATTATCCTTTGAAGCGTAGAAGAGTTGAGAATGGGGATGCATTAGGAGGAGGGCAAACTCGAGATTTCCTTGGAGTTGGTGTACAGACAATATGTCGTTCATCTTCTATCAGCGGATGGATTTAAAAGTTGTTAACACTTGTAATGAATTTTTCTACCTTATTCATATAAGAACTTATGAAAACTGTTTCTGACTTGGTTTTTTTTTTTTTGGACAAACTGTTTCTAACTTTGTTAGGGAGTGTTGGTGAAAGTAGAAATTGTAAGAAAATGGTAGGCTAAAATTTTAAAATTCTATTGTTATTGATTAATGAGTTTTAATTAACTTTCTTGCTAAATTCTAGCTGTTATAAATAAAATCCCTAGTTTTCAGTCTTTGATTAATTTAAAGATTTTAGATATATATTTCGTAATGTACATTAATAATTTCTCTAGAAAAAGTTAAAGTTAATTTTAAGAACATTCTTGGTATAGTGATGTGAATTACCCAGTGGCTACATTATTCCTGATTAAGTTAATAAAATAATTTGATTAATACATTCAACCAGTCTTGGAGTTAAAATCTTTTTTTATGGTTGGAGTTAAAATCTTTTTAATTACCTTTATGCAAGACATTTTATTCTATATCGCAAACTATCACATTGAATATGATCACGTCTTAAAATAGAGTCTACATTCACACATTGGAAAAAAGACTACACTACCTAAAGACAAGCATTGTTAATTACAATGTAGTGATTCACATATATATATATTGGTATTATATCGTTATAGAAAAACAAAGATTCATGCATACTCATTAGGTTAGAAAGGTCTTTGATTTTGCTTTTGACAACTTTAAGAAATAAAAGGGTATGTACGCTTTGTATTTTGTATATGCATAATATAAAGAGTGGATTGAGAAGTGGTGGGGACAAAAGGAACGATGAAGGCTTTTTGTGTTCAATAATTCTAGCTTAACTTGCAGGGCAATTCATAGTGGAAGATAATAATAAGAAAATAAAAAAAAGAGATAATTGGCTAAAGTGCCCTATTTGGCACCTATAATTAGAAAATTACCCATGATGTGATAATCACTTTCCTTTGGACCATTTTGTCATTTTCTACACTCTCTCTTCTCTTTGACATCTCCCCTCTTTTTTTTTTCTCTTCAATCCCTAATTATTTTACAAATCTCTATCATTCTATATATAATTAAATTTTAAATTTCATTATTTTTTCATAAGTGGCTTTGAATCCTCAATTTTGACCTTTTTTTCTCTCTAATCCCTAATTATTTTACAAATCTCTATCATTCTATATACAATTAAATTTTAAATTTCATTATTTTTTTCATAAGTTGCTTTGAATCCTCAATTTTTTGATGATATCAATTTTCTGGGTTTTAGATTCGACGTCGTGTTAGCGGTTAACAAATATTGTAGACGTTAATAGAAGTGTTAGGTGTTAACAATTATTTTTACGCTTCGCGTTAATAAATGTGTTCGCTGTTAACAAATATTGTAGACGTTAACATAAGTGTTAACTGTTAACAATTATTTTTACGCTCCGCGGTAATAAATGTGTTGGCTGTTAACAAATATTGTAGACGTTAACAGAAGTGTTATATGTTAACAAATGTTTTTACGCTTCGTGTTAATGAGAGGAAAGAGAAAGGGCATTCTCGGCATTTCATTGCCAAATGGTTGTGTCAGTGTCATTCATGTACAATCAATGGTATTTTGCTAATTTGAGCTTCAAATATGGGTAGTTCACTAAATCACTCTAAAAAATGAAGAGAGATAGAAAAGATAAAAGAAACATAGGTAAAGTTTTCAATATTATTTTAAAATCTAGCTGTTTTGCTAGCTAGAGGTGAAAAACTATCCCAATGCATGTGCATCTGTCAATCACATACACATGCCTCTTATGAATAATACTATTTGGAACAATCAGGCTCGATGATTTATTTTACCTTTGACAAAAGTTTCCTTCCCTGAAGCAGCGGTACTTTTTACCCTATCCGGTTAAACCATGCGCTTGGTCTAACCGTGCATTGATCGAGTTTCCGCTAGAAACAGAGAATGTTTTCATGTTCTGCCTTTATCACAAACTCTTTACTTTGTAGGTAATAAGGAACAACGTAAATTCAGTAAGCGGTCGGCACTAAAAAAATGGCGATGAATGATAAATTATAATTAACATCAACCATAATTAAATTAATTGATGTAATTAAAAAACAAAAAAGATGAAACTTAACGAATTCATACAAAATAGTATCACATTCTGGTGGAACTCAAAAAAAAAATGAAACAAACAGAAGCAAATACGAAATTACATTATTAATTCCATTTGAGGCACTAGTTAGGGAGATTACAAAATATAAAATGAATACAAGATATTGTGTAAAGCCAAAAGATTCAATGGGAAGTGATCTTTGGTAGAGAGACATGAAGTTCTCAGTATGGTTTAGGGACAAAATGAAGACCATCCACCCCGAGTTAATTGCACATATGCAGCTCCTTCAAATCTGACCTTTCTCACATCGTTGCTTCTATGATCTTAATATTTTGTTTCTGAAATGACAAAACCAAGATAATTAAATAGAGAAGCTTTACAATAATTAAAACAAAAATTGAAAAAATATATATATTTTTTTTAAAAGAAGCAAAACGACACAGTTTCAAGGGTGAAGAAGAACATATAGCCGTTAGAGATCAGAGAAACGGATGCATTAAAAAGGGCAAAAAAAGACATAAGACCGTTGAGACAAAGCAAGTTAACACACAGACACACACACACTCCATATTATTCAAAAAGTTTAATGACCGTTGTCATAAGACTCCTTCCTTCCTTCCCTTGTATCTATTTTATTCTCTGATTATTATTATTCAGACACACACATTCTCTCTGACAAAGGAACCAAGAAACTGTGATTCGATTCTTCTTCCTCTGTCTGTGATTATAGAATGGAAGGAACAACGATTGATCAGACGTATGAGTTCTTGGCGCCGCGATGGTTTGATTTGGTTAACGAAGAGACGGAAGATGAGGCTCGTCGAGCAGAGCTCTGGTTTCAATCGGCTTTAAGCTGTGCTCCTTCTCGTGAGTTTCAATTGTCAGATCTGTTGTTGTTTGGTCTCAATTTCGTTAGGGTAATATAATTAGGGTTTTTAATGTTATTTTGTAGCATCGGTTCCTAGAATCAAAGCAAGGAGATCATTCAAGGTAGAGGCAATGTGTAGTTTTGATGAAGAAGAAGAAGAAGAGGAAGAAGAGAACACGACACAGGTTTTGCCTTAAATCAACAGTTATTTATATCCTAAATTATAAGAATTCATGTTTGTAATTTTTCTGAACAATGTTCACTTTGCAGGATAAAGAGCCCTCTGAACCACTGGATGTAACTGTTTCTGATACTATCTCTGAGGCCAATAAAGAAAATGTTAGTCCAATTAAGTCATCTCACAGCAGCAGCTTCAAGGACTCTTCAGATGCTGCAAGGTTACTTATCTATCTTTTATTATGAGTTTGTGTAATGATGTTCTAATACTAATACTCCTTCTTCTTGTTCATTCAATAGCAATCTTGGAGACAAGTTAGAAAATAAGGAAAACATTCCTCCTCCTAACAAAGAAGAAACCTGCACACCAAAACCACAAGGAGGAGACTCAGTTGACCCTAAGAAGAAGCAAACTGCTAGAAAGATTGCTAGCATTCTGAGGAATCCATCTGCACTTAGGCCAAAAGCAAGTCATCAGAAAAGTGTGTTGATGATGCCTTCCTGCAGGGAAACGAGTCATGTTAAGAACATAGCTGCTGCCACTACCAATCTGATTCAGGACAATCAAGCCATCAAAAGGCAAAAGCTAGATGATGGAAGATCAAGACAGGTGAGTCCCCTTTTTTCAATATCAGCAAGCTTAAACTCCATATCTCAAACGCTTAACTTCTCATCATTGATTAATCTTAGATTCTCAATCCAAAACCAACTACATTACTCCACAAGACAAGACAGGGTCTCGTTAACACTAGTTTCAACGTATGCCCTGAAGTCACTAAGCAAACTCAGAAGGAGAACAGAAAGGTTTATGTCCGTGAGCAATCTAAACCTTTCATTTCAACTGCTGAGTTGATGAAGAAGTTCCAAACAAGCACACGAGACTTGTCACTGACTCAGCCCAACACTTTTCTTCCTCAGGTAAAGAAACAAAGAAAGAGACTCTTGATAGTTTCTTTCTCTGATTCCTTTTAATTAACTTCCAGGATGGTGTGATCTTTCTGCAGAACCGAACTAAGTTGACGCTGACAAGAGCTAAAGAGCCAGAGTTTGTGACATCTCAACGAGCTCGTCCTTTAAAAGTGAAGAGCAGTGCAGAGCTTGAGGAAGAGATGTTGGCTAAGATTCCTAAGTTCAAAGCTCGTCCTGTGAACAAGAAGGTAAAAAATAGCATTTGGTATCACTGTGGTATGTATTAATACCTCTGAAAGAGAAATCTACAAAAACAAAAAAACAATACATTATCTTGTTTGATGCAGATTTTTGCAGCTCCAGCTTTGCCTGCACCACAAAGAAGCACACCACATCTACCAGAGTTTCAGGTAGAGAGGCACTTTATTGAAGAGACTATCATCATTTTAGAAATGAATCTGTTATTTGATCTACTAGAGGCTAATTCATATCTTTACCATTGCAGGAGTTTCATCTTGAAACAATGGCTAGAGCGAACCAACATGCAGAGACATCTTCTATGGCTTCAACACAAGTGTCTAAGCAGGTATTGAACTTCTTCTTTGCCTCTAAATAAATGTTCTTATGTTGTATGCATATAACACTTAGTTACTTCCTGTCATGCCATCTGATAATATATCTTGCACACAGCATAATGATTGCAAGCCTCACCTTACTGCACCAAAGCCCCCTATGCTCCAAACAATGCTAAGAGCTCGTCCTACTAAAGCAAAGACTACTGCGGAACTTGAGCAAGAGGAACTCGACAAGGCACCAAAGTTTAAAGCAAAACCTTTGAACAAAAAGGTACTAACTCAAGAGGTGTAGATTATTATAACTACTTCATATATAACTAACTAACTTGGGAATCAATTAAACTCATCATCCAGATATTTGAAAGCAAAGGAGAGATGGGTATCTTTTGTAACACTAAGAAGCACATAACCATACCTCAAGAGTTCCACTTTGCTACAGATGAGAGGATATCCAAACCCAACTCTGTCTTTGATGCATTCGACAAGGTAATATTTCAACCAACTAAAACTGCTTTAATGCAAGTGTTATGTTCCATGTTTGACACAACTTCTTCTTGTTGGCAGCTCTCATTGATCTCTGAATCTTGCCATGAGAAGCCTCTACAACCAAGGATCACTGCTCCAAACCCCTTTAATCTAAGGACAGAAGTATGTATTATTACCCTCTAACAACTTCTTTGAAGTTACTGACCAATTTTTTACTGACCGTTGTTTCAATTACTTTGTGGCATTCCAGGAACGAGGAGCTGAAAAGGAGAAGAAGTTTGTAATGGAAGTCACAGAGAAACTGATAGGAGATGAAAGGGCAAGAGTTCCAAAAGCAAAACCATATCCTTACACAACCGACTATCCCGTGGTACCACCAAAACCAGAACCTAAGCAATGCACAAAGCCAGAACCGTTTCAGTTAGAGAGCCTAGTGAGGCACGAAGAGGAAATGCAAAGAGAGATGGAAGAGAGGATGAGAATGGAGAGAGAAGAAGCTCAGAAGAGGCTCTTCAAAGCACAACCAGTTATAAAAGAGTAAGTGTGCCTGCCCTTTATCAATGTTTATCAATGTTCTTAGAGAGCTAACTATAGCTTGAACACAGGGATCCAATCCCGGTTCCAGAGAAAGTAAGAAAGCCCCTCACAGAAATTCAGGCGTTCGACCTCCATGTAGAGCATCGAGCTGTTGAGAGAGCAGACTTTGATCAGAAAGTAAGCGTTTCAGTCACTTACAACAACAATAAATAACATGCTTACATAACCTCTAGAACTGACAAATTATCATTCTATTTTGGAACAACAGATAAAAGAGAAGGAGAATCAGTACAAGAGATATCGTGAAGAGAGTGAAGCTGCAAAAATGGTATGAAGACACACACTTAACTTATTGCTGTATATCTCACTAAACTTTGCTGAAGTGTAACAATACTTACAAAAATCTATCAGGTGGAGGAAGAAAGGTATCTGAAGCAGATGAGAAAGGCGATGGTTCCTCATGCAAGACCTGTGCCTAACTTCAACAAACCCTTCTTACCTCAAAAGTAAGTTTTCATTCCATTAAAAAAAAAAGGAACTCATAGTACACTCTCTTGTATTTGATTAAACACTTCATGATGTCTCACACACAGGTCCAACAAGGAGATCACGAAACCAAAATCCCCCAAGCTTAGAGTGATAAAAAGAACCGAGAGAAGAAAGATGACTCTACCAGTTTCTGCAGCCACCAGTGCTTCGGCTGGTCAGATGAGATAGTTTGTAGCTGACACATGTTTGTTCATGAATGCTTGAACCCTACTACATTCACTTTGTAAAAATAAATTTATTCAGTACTAAAATTTTCCTTTGAAACCAACCTGTCTTGGAGACTTACTAAATATGATGTAAGAAGTACATTTTCTTATGTATTCTGATTCAAATTTAGTCAACTTGAAAAAGAGTATCTTAATGATATAATAAAGCTCTCTTTACCTTGACACCAACATAAATCAACTAAACACTCGGAGAATGTTTTAGTAATATACACATTATTTGGATCACTTGCTCCACAACTTGTATTGGTTCTGTTCTATCTGATTTTCAGAAGAGGTCACCGTGAGAGATGGGGATTTCGAGTTATGGAGTTTAGTAATAGTAAGAGTACCAAATACTCAATGGCTAGAAATGCAGTTAACTTTGAGGTTTTTGTCATCTTTAATAAGACTTTGCAGATTCTCTGTTGACGACCGTTGCATTATCCTCTTCTTTAGATTCCTGATTAGTATCAGTTTGGGCCTTTTTGTACATAAGGGCTCAAAAGAAAAACATAAATTCAACGGTTGAGACTATCTACTATGAATAAAAGGAGCAAATAAAGCCCCCTCCTTAAGCCACGTCAGCTTTTTTAATCCTCCAATAGGAACCAAGTGTTTTGCCATGTCAGTGTCTCTCCTTGTCGTTTGGGCCTCACATGTCAAAGGTCAAAAAATGTAAAATTCTGAGTAGCCCGTCAAGACCGACACACGGCGAAAACACTTTTCCCCTTNTATCTACTATGAATAAAAGGAGCAAATAAAGCCCCCTCCTTAAGCCACGTCAGCTTTTTTAATCCTCCAATAGGAACCAAGTGTTTTGCCATGTCAGTGTCTCTCCTTGTCGTTTGGGCCTCACATGTCAAAGGTCAAAAAATGTAAAATTCTGAGTAGCCCGTCAAGACCGACACACGGCGAAAACACTTTTCCCCTTTTCACGAACCCTTTCTCTTCCTCTTCTTCGTTTCCACCATAAACCGTTTCTCTTCCGTCCTTTCCATCGGCGATCCCAACTCGAAGTTCTTCGCTTCAAACCAAGAGACCGGAGACGAATGGGAGCTTTTCAAGGAGAACGTCAGACCTCTCAAGAGAGGACGCAATGTAAATCTTCTCAACGACGCTCTCAAATCTCACACCGACTGCCATCGAGAAGAAGAGGTATAAAACTTTCAACTTTCATCACATCTATGTCTCTTTGCGTTCCAATTCTAATCGCGTTTTCTGTTTTTTTTCCATTAATTAGGAAGTTGATTGAAGATATCAAAGAGTACGATGGATCCAGTAAGTTCTTGCTTTTGGGGTTTTTTTAAAAGTCGCAACTTTATCTTTGAGAGCGTCAAAGATTCTTGAAACCAATATGAGCTTTTCTTCAGGTGTATAAAATGGGTACAAGAAGCGTTTCCACCAGGTGGAGAGTGTCCGGGGCTATTAGTGATATATGAGCAATGCGTTCGTAAATTCTGACATTACTATGAACAATAAAAGATTATCTATCAAGTTCAGAGGTAAACAAACATCAAACCCTTCTGCTCTGTTTTGTTTTTGAGTTATAATGTTTTTTCTACTCTTAATGTTACAGACTCAGTAAAGACAACAAAGAAGAGGTTTTGGAGAAAGCAGGGAAAGATCTAGCAGCAGTGAGGGGACAAGACTTTGCTCAGTTAATGAAAGAGCTTCAACGGACTGACTTCTGGAAGCTCCGGCGCGCTTATTCCCAGGGGTCTGTGAGACATCAATCTTTATGGTGGAAACGATTTTGGTTTAACTGATACATGTTTTCTGTGTTTAACTAACAGGTTCAAGAGTATGTTGAAGCTGCAACATTTTACAAGTTCAGTGTGTCAGGAACACTCTCTATTCTCGATGAGATTATCTACTCTTTTACCTCTTAGTGACCCTTCTTTGGAGCCGCTGCAGATCAACATCCTTGACTATATTCTCGGGGTATGTATAGACTCTTTTGTTTCATGTTAATCTCTGTTAAAAGATCTCAGTGTTTGTTTGCTTACTTTTGCAGCTTGCGGATTTGACTGGAGACCTAATGAGGATGGCTATTGGTAGAATCTCAGACGGTGAAGTCGAGTTCGCGCAGAGGATTTGTCAGTTAGTGAGACAGATTCATAGGGAACTGTTCCTGGTCGTGCCTCAGGTGGATGATAGTTATGATATGAAGTCAAAGATGGAAGTGATTCTTCAAAGTGTGATCAAGATAGAGAATGGTATGTATTCATAGCGACTGTGTTTTTTCTTTTTTATGTAGGTGGTTATATGTAACTCTTTTTAATGTTTGTTTGTATATTAGCTTGCTTTAGCGTTCATGTACAAGGATCAGAATATATTCCTCTGCTTGGAGATGATGCACCAATGTCATTCCTATTAGGAGGTGCTGATGTTGAATGATTTAAGAAGTGAGTTTTTTTCTGGGAGTTATTGTGAGAACTAGGCTCACTTTAGTATGAATGCTGCTGAGGAACTGTGCTGCTGAGGAACGTTTTGACTCTGATCTAACCTCCAAAACAATACTAACTTACCTCTGCAATAACTTACCTCTGCAAGATAATCACTTAACTTATATTTATATTATCATAGGTTCCTCAGAAACCTATTGTGAGAACTCTTGCTTCCTCTGACGTTTTTGTTGACGACGAAGAAGAATGTACAGAGTAAGTTTGACAAATTTTGAATGTTTTGGTAGCAAGACAGAGATGTTTTGTTACTGACTTTTTGGATTGTGAAATTGCAGAGACGGAGGAGAGAAGAAGGAGAAGAGTGAAACAATTCATCATCATCATCAAATGCTCTGGCGCTTAATGATGGCCCTGAGATTAAGAAGTAAAAATAAGATCTCTTTCTTGATTGATTCACCAAACAATCATATGATGAATTGTGTATCTAACTAACAATCTTTACTTTTCTTTTATTTCTTAACTGTAGAGAAACAGAGCTGCCGCGAAAGAAGCCATTAAGACATTTCCCACCCAACAGCTTCGTTAGATGATGACGTTCATCATCATCTCCACCAACAATCATACCATAAACGATCTTCTGAGTTTGAGTTTTGAGCTTTTATCTATCAAGTTCCTTCTATTTTGTTTCATGTTTGGATTTGTTTTTGTGATGTACTGAGGTTTTTATGTACTATGATAAGTTTTTTCATGTTTCTTTAAGCTTGTGAGTTGTTTAATTAATTGATTTCAGTACGTTGCTTTAAATCTCCCCCCCCACTAACCATGTGTTGTGGTTGGTATCAGCAGGATATAGCCATATTTGAAAGTTTTATGTGACGTTTTAATTTTTATATCGCAGATGACATGTAGCTTGGAAATCTACAAACTTATAGAAAAAGGAATTATCATAATTATTCTATGATGGCCATTTTACGACACTAATTTGGGTGGTTGCCACAAAGAAATTTAAATTACAATAAGAAGAGGTAATAATCTACTCTATAAAAATAGAGTCATTAAAAATCTACCCTAAAAAAGTTAAACTGATTCATTAATATATATATATATATATATATATATATATATATATATATATATATATATATATAATCTATTCAATGATATCAGTAAAGTTTCTCAAGATCTTTATCAAATATCTTAAATGATAGTATTTTTTTAATAAATTATTTTAATTTACTACATTGGTCTTTTTAAATGTTAAATAATTTTAGAAAATTTGTGTATCGAGCTATTTTATTAAAATAGAGTCATTAAACATTTTACTGTACAAAAATTATAGAAAAACTAATTCATTAGTATATTATGTATTTCATAATATTAGTACCAAATAAATATTATCAAATCTTATTTAATATAATGATTTTTAATTAATTAATTTAATATGTTAATATTTTAATTGTTAGATATTTATTTATATTTCAGAAACTTTTTTTCTGTAACATCTATTCCATTAAAATAAAGTCATATTTGCATGTAATCGTTACCCATGTATTATATTAGAATTTTCTTACAATGTTATTAGCTCATTACTAGAGAGTTTATTAGGACATCATCTTATTTGAAGTCAGTGGTGGGGGCATCATTTCATTCCATTCCATTGTTAACACTTTAGGGATTTTAATGGGTTCCTCTATGCCAAGTACTTTTTATATTTGCTAATAGAATAACATATACCACTTAATAGAGATTTAAATAAAACACAAAGCATGGAAAAAGGAACCAAATCTCTGAATTTTCATTCTTGCGTACTCATGTTGTTTTATTGGGTTTCATGAACCCAAAACTCTGAATTCTCAGAGTAATTTGTTACTTTCGGTGTTATAAAAAAAACACAAAGAAAATTATGAGTTAGATTAATCTTGGAAAAAGTCTTTCATGGGTATAAAAATATTGTGAATCTAATTTTTTATATATTGTATAATAATATTTTAAATCTACTCTTTAGAACTTATAAGGGAGTTTCTCTATACCAATACTTTTCATATTTGCTCCTTAGCATATACCATTCAATAAATATTTTAATAAAACCAAAGATTATCACCGCGCTACGCGCAAATTACATATTTTAATTTCTTCATTTTTTAATTATTATTTAAATGGTTTGGTTATTATTTTTATTCAGTTGTATATTGTATTTTCATTTTTTTAATTATACAGTTTATTCTATTATTTCATTTTTTCTACGTTATTTCTTGATTTTATTACTTTCTAATTTTTGCATCAAAATAGCAAGAGTTTTTTGTTATTTAAAAATAGTGTTACACAAACCAAAAATAGTCCTTCAACTAAAGCTCATGAAAATAAATTAGAATAGGCTTTCTTCTCTTTGTTTTTGAACTCCATTTACTTTTTATTTAGAATGATGTAATATTTTTCTTAATTATAATGTTTGAAAATGTGTTGAATTTTAATCTGTCTTTGTATCTAAGTATACACATAATTTATATTTTTCTATATTTCATAAATATTAAAAAAGGAATCCAAACTATTGGGCTGTAAATATCAAAATTCTTTAAAAATATATAATTAATATTTTTATTAAAAATATTAAATTTTCCAAGTTGTGATATTTTCTGCTAGAGAAAATATTCTATTGCCACATCATTGTAGCCTCAAAGAATGATAAAAAGTCTTATAAAAATTAATTTTATAGTTATACATATATATAGATACTTAACTTAAAATTAAACTAAATTTACAACTCAGATGGGCTGGTGTGACCATTGACCTTATTGCAATGTCAAGTTAATGTTCAGTTTGGTATTCAAAACATTGATGACAAGGATAAATTAATATCATGCAGTTTATAAGTAAATATAATAAATAAACATTATTCATAAGAACAAAATCTATACAGTCTTAAATTTGTATAATACCATTTTAAATTAAAAAAAAATCAATTCATTTTATATACTTAATTACTTAATTTTTAGATTTTGATAGTGATTATTTTTTACCAACATATTGAAGATAGAAATTAATTAAAACTACATATTAAAATATTATAGTAATTATTATGTAAGTTATTTATATCAAAAATAAAATGAGGGTTCTGTTAAAAAAACTATTTCTATCTATATTTTTTAAAATAAATTGTAAATTATTAATAATATTTATAAATTCTTACTTGCATTAACTACAAGGATTTTGTCAATATTTATCTTTTTCTATTTAATTTAACATTATATTTCTTCTATTTTTAATTATAAATTTAATTATACAATATATTATATCTATAAACAACATGACTGAAAATTTTGTTTAATAGATAAGCCGCGCGTAGCGCGGCCAAAAGATCTAGTNTTAATAATATTTATAAATTCTTACTTGCATTAACTACAAGGATTTTGTCAATATTTATCTTTTTCTATTTAATTTAACATTATATTTCTTCTATTTTTAATTATAAATTTAATTATACAATATATTATATCTATAAACAACATGACTGAAAATTTTGTTTAATAGATAAGCCGCGCGTAGCGCGGCCAAAAGATCTAGTATTTTATAAAATCAAATGGATGGTCTAGATTGACTAGGGAGGGAGTGTTATTATTACTTTCGACCTAGTTTGTAAAACCGAAATCTCTGAAAATCTGAGACCTTGCGAAGACTCTCTCTGTCACCGCTTCGATTACGTAACTCTCTCTTTTTTCTGTATGAATATTTTGCTTTCAGATTCTCTTTATTTTCTGATTTCTGATGGCTTTGTCTTATCAGTAACACGAGTTATCTGTAACACGAGTGTATATTGATATAAGCTGTAAAAGTGTTAAAAGCTTTGAAAAGTGTAAATTGATATAAGATTAGGTAACTCTGTAACACTCGTCTTTTTGATCAATATAAAAGTGTAATATATATATATATATATATATGTACGCATGAAATGAAAACAAGAAATCAAAACTAGCTGATCAATATTTTGAAGGAGACGTCCACAGATGGAGGATACCGTGTGTTTTGAGATAGACAACTTCTCTGAGCAGAATGATATGATAACAACTCCTAACTTCTCAAGCGGCGGCTGTGAAAGGATTTTTTTCTCTTAGGTGTGTTTTTGTGTATCCCAAGGGAGCGCATGGCTCTGATCACTTGGGTCTGCACCTGGCAGTTGCGAATAGTGATACATTGAGGCTTGGATGGAAAAGGAGAGCTAGTTATTGCTTTGTTGTGTTAAATCAATCCGGAAAAGAGCTGTACAGATCACCTGGTAAATTATATCAAACATGCTACTTGTGATTATCTGATTGATTGACTAATTAAGAAGAAGAAATCTTGTAGATGAAAGCAGATGCAGATTGTTCCGCAATGATATGACAGCCTGGGGTTACTCTGATGTGCTGCCTCTTTCCAAGCTCCAAGAAAAAGGGTTTCTGATGAAGAACAAACTAATCTTCAAAATCAACATCAAAGTCATTGAAGTTGTTCATCAAGGAGAGTCAACTGAGGATGATATGTTAGATTACAATGGTTTTCAGATCCTTGCTTCTCACGTAAGTTAACCCTAATCTTTTAATAAATCCCCTTTGGTAATGAGTAGCATAACAACAATCTCTCTCTCTCTTTCTGTTTTGGCAGTGTGCACAACTATACAAGTGTGACCTACTAAAATTAAATTTCCGTCCAGAGAACCAAGCGGCCAAAACAAAGTACATGAATCTCCTCCGCATCGTCGAAACACTGAGCAAGACTCCACAGAGCTTGTCTTTGACTGAACTATGCAATGCTCAAAGCGAGCTGGCTGCACTGGAGGAAGCAGGCTACAAGCACGACTGGCTAGATTCTAAAATTGAGGAACTATCCGTGGAGTGCAAGAAAGCAACACTTTCTGATGGATCTAGGGTCCGACAACTCGAGGATGTGGTCAAGAATGTGGAACTGACTCTGTTGGATCTCAAAGCTGAACTGGACAAGGAAAAGGTTAAATCTGCTGCAACTGCTGCTAAAGTATCTTCGTTTCAGTTTATAGATCTTCTTATAAAGAGGTTATTTCTCTCTTGCTTCTCTATCTCAAAATACTAGCCCATCTATGTTTTAATCCTCTGAGCTTTGTGGGTTTTTCATCCAAAAACATGATAATCGGTTAATGTGCTGTGATCCTTTCTTTCCCCGTACTTACCAACTTTGAAGGATGATTCTTTGTTTCCGTTTCTTTAATTTTTTTTATTTGTCATTATCTGCCTTCAAGTCATTCTCATTCATATTTAAGTTGTTCGAATCACTTGCTCTAACTTGTAGCTGACACATGTTCATGAATGCTTGAACCTACTACATCACTTTGTAAAATTAATCGATTCAGTACCTAAATTATGATGTAGAAGTACATTTTCTTATGTATCCTGATTCAGATTTATTTAACTTGAAAAAGACTGTCTTAATGATAACACCAACGTAAACAACTAAACACTCGGAGAATGGCAAGTCTTAGAGCATATCAGTTAATTTTTGAATTCATATACATTGTTTGAACCACTTGCTCCAACTTGTATTGGTTCTATCTGATTTGGTTCTGCACACTACCAACTGAAAGAAATCGAACAAGGTTCTTAACCATCAAAACCAATTTCAAGATTCAAAGGCAGAGAGAAGATAGCCAGTTAGATCTATGTACAATTTTGTTTGGTCTGCCTTCTGATATGTAAGAAGTAAGAACACATACATGTGTGTTATATACAGTTAATTAGCCAAATTTACATCAGGAAATCTGATACTTTACTCTGTCTGAAAATTCTTGAAGTAGCTTCTCTCTGTCAAATGGAGAAGCTGACAATACCCATCTACTAAACTCCATTATCTCCATGCCTTTAAACTCAGCTAACATCTTGTACTTCTCTCTTTTTCGTTCCCTGACTGAAAAAGGCATACCTTCCTCTTCACCCCCACCTTTTATCTTCTTCTTCTTCTTCTTGTTCTGTCGATCCGCACACTCTAAGTTCTCATTGCTGTTACACTCTCCATTGAACCTCTGAGATGATGTTGATGTTGCTGCCCTTCCACCATTGATGATATCTTCATTTCGATGTGAATACACAATGCCTATTTAAATAGTAACACATAAGCCAGAGCAAGGATTTAAAAAGACTAACATCATAAAATATATCCAAGCAGAGAAAAGTACACATCAGTCTTTATTCTTACCCACGTCTCCAAGTATAGGTTCCTGTGCCTCCTGTTTAGATGAGCACAAGATCTCTTCTTCATCATCTGAAACACCCATCTTACTATCCTTACGCAATTCAACTATCTCGCTAGTGAAGAGCTTATCAGAGAGATCACGGAAAAGATTCGAAATCCCAAACAGCTCCCCTTGAAACTCTTTACAGTCCTGTTCATAAGACCAACCAAATCATTACAAGAGAAAACAATCTCTTTAAAGAAAACTAAAACCGATTTAAAATTGTGTAATTTATATGTTACCTGAACGCCTTCAAAGTACCTAGTCTCCATCTTCCCTGCAACTGCAATGTTTGAAAGCTGTTGTTTGTATACTTGTCTTGTATAAACTAGTTCCTCAAGAGAACCAGCAGCCAACAAACGAAACACCACCACATGACGTTTCTGTCCATACCGAAACGACCTATCTTGCGCTTGCAAGTCATGAGAAGGGTTCCAGTTTGGATCAAATATAACCACACGGTTGGCACTCACAAGATTTAGTCCCAACCCACCAGCTCTAGTTGATATCAGAAACACCTGCAAAACACATTGAAAAGTCATCAGCTCTAGTCGACATCTTTTGAATAGGGTTCAGTTAATAGAGACCTGTTTGCTAGGACTAGCGTTAAAATCATCTACAAGAGACTGTCGGAGATTAGTTGGAGTAGAACCATCAAGTCTTGCAAAACTATAACCTTTTCTAATTAGAAACTTCTCCAGAATATCCAGCATCCTGACAGAGTAACTGAAGAGAAGTATCTTATCACCCTTTGATATCCAAGAAGCCATCAACTTCTCCAAAGCTCTCATTTTCCCACAATGTTTAACATCACTAAGGTCCATGAAGCTCTCGCTTGCAGAAACACCTCCTGCTAGATCAACATCTGTCCCAAACACCGCAGATACAAAATCTGCGTCCTTCTTCTGCTTCTCTGTATCATCTCTTGGGTTAGGTTTAACAAGCTCCAGATGATTGCTTACCTGCTGAAGTTTCACAAGGCAAGGAAGCACCAAGCAGAAAGGACAAGAATCACAACCGTCTGGACTGTCTCTATGAATGTAACTCCAGATAGGTCCATCAGGAACAATCCTTCTGCAGCACTCTGATTGCTTAAGAGGGCTTCCACAAGCGCAAGGATTGTCTTTATTCACCAGGCATTGAATCTCTGGGAGTTGCAACATTCTTTGGTACACACGTTTCTGCAACTCGCTCATCTGACAGAAGACTACGTTGTCTTCCTTCCCCATCATTAAATGCCCAATGGTTTCCTCCTTTGTCCTCCTCAACATGTACTTCCTTAGAACACTGACTAAATGTTGTTTCCTCTTATCTGCAATGTGGACAAATCTTTCGGGAGCAGTTGCTCTCTGCCCTTGCTTTAACGGTTCATCATAGTACTCTCGGAAATGCTCACGAGTTCCCAACGATCCTGGCGCTACCCACTCAAAAAGGTTGAACAACTCAGTGATCTTGTTCTGCATCACTGTACCCGTAAGACCGAGTCTTTTCTTCGTCTTGATCTTAACACACGCCTCGTAGAGTTTGGACTTTTCATTCTTTAAACGGTGTGCCTCATCAGCAATCACTATCTCCCAGTTAATCCCTGACAAAACAGGGCCTTGGATTCTAAATGTATCAAAGCTAGTCACAAGTACCTCGACACCACGGGCATTGAGTTTCTCAAGAATCATATCTCGGTTTGCTCCATGGTACACAGAGACCTTGAAGAAGCTAGCCCATCGTGAAAACTCACTCTCCCAGTTGTGGATAACCGAAGATGGACAGATTATTAGTACTGGACCCATTTGAGAGTCTGAAACAGAAGTCTCACCAGCGTCACTGTCTTTTCCATAAACTCCAGCAAGAAATGCAATTGTCTGAATGGTCTTGCCCAAGCCCCTGTATCACAGCCATAGTTTTAAACTACACAAGAACACTCTAAAGAAGACTATATTACAATGTCAACACTCAAAAAATCATCCTTTCCCACTGAATCTATATATTGGTTCTAAACTACACAAGAACATTCTCAAGAAGACTAAAACCAGAGCCCTTTACATTAGTGACACAGCAAAAATCCATCCATTTCCTCTGAATCTATAAGCTCTAATAAATGTACATAAAGTTGTAACATTTATTCAAAACACAGCAAAGAAGAACTCACATGTCATCGCCAAGAATGCCACCATGGTTGTTTCTATAGAGATTATACAGAAACTTAACTCCCTCTCGCTGATGTTCAAGCAATCTACAGTTGATAGAAGCAGGTACCTACACCAAAAACACACACATTCTTCAATTCAAAACCAAAATTAGTTTCAAAAAGAACTTGGGTTCCTTAAAGACGTGAACAAAGGCTAAGACTTTCGACTGAAACTAACCTGTATGATCGGAATTTCTCCAATTGATGACAGAACAAGTGGTGCGTAAGGACCGGAATAGTCAAATTCGACCCGGTTTAGCCCGGGTCTCCCGAATTCAATCGATTTCTCATCATCTTCTTCTTTGTTGTCTTCATCACAATTGATACTTCTTTTGTGGGTTTCTTCTGGAAGATTGGAATTTGAGATTTTAGATTCGTGTTTCGAAGGTAAGAAGTATGAATCATCGAGACGCAGTAGCTGTTGTGAAAGAGACGATTTGGGAGGTTTTCTCGTCGGTTCAAAGTACTCTTGCGTCGATGAGATTTGCGACGAAGACGATGATGATGATGATGACGGGAAGGTACTACATGGCTTCAAAGTCTGTTTGAAAGTGTGTAACAACGACATCGCTAATCGATCGCGTTGCTAGAGAGAGAGAGAAAAAAAAATCGTGTGCTTTCTTCGAGAAGTTGAAAAAAGTTTTAGAAATTTTAAAACTTACTTGCTTTTATTCGAATTATTTGAAAGTAAGAGGGTAAAAGGGAAATTAACATGTTAATAGGCCGACCAAGCAAAGCCCAAATAAAAGTTTTGTCCTAACATGCTTTATATCCAATACAAGCAAAGCCCAAACTATACTTTTGTCCTAACATGGTTTTAGGTTTAGGGTTTCTGGTCCCTCTCTAGTACATATATATGCCAATCTCTAATTCATATGAAGACGCCATTCTTCTTCTAATCACCACTGCGTTGTATTTGTTCTCTTCATTGATTCACTTTCTTGTTGGTCTATTTCCAAAACGTTTTGTGAAGAATGTGATGAAAGTTGTAGATAGGTGATGATTCATATGATCGATAAAAATTTCAACTCGCTACGTTCTTTCTGATTCCTACCAGTTTTCCTAATTTGTTTTCTTCAAAATTCGTTTTTTATTTGCTCTCCTGCTTCACGTTTTCGTAGAAGTTTTGTTGTTCTCATGGAAAAAAGCAGTACGATTTTGAGTCAGTATTTCAATTGGATTTTGATATATTTGTAACCATGGGTAATGCTGGAGAAATGATGAGAAATCAGATAAATCTTAGGACACCTTCTGACACATCTGTGTATGAGAATGACGTCTTGGTCTGATCTTCAGTTAATATTCTTTTTTTCTTTTTCCTTTGTTTCCACCTCAGTACATTTATATTTTTTGCATAGTCCTTAAAACAATTATTTTGTCAAATAATTTGATTTATATTCTTTCTTGTATTAGTCAATAGTTATTGAGAATTTGATGATTGAAACATAAATTGAAAAGATTATGTATTTCACCAATATATCATTACAACAAACATTAAAGTTTGACCTGTTACCATTACCACTATAAACAAAAAAAAAATCAAATTTGTAAATTATATGTAAAGGACAGTTTCTTTGCATATATGTACACGGCTGTTCAAACTCTATAATAAAACTTTATATACACTTATAATCTAATCAAACAATCACTGCTTGAGCCGCAAGAATTATTTAACATTATGTATAATCCAAATAAATGAACCACTAACCTTTGTAACAAATCTGACTTGACTCATCTCTTCTCCCTTTGAGCAACTCACTCTAATTTCGAGATTAAAAGATAAATCCCGAGTTTAGTTTCATGATTTGCTCACATCATTTGACTTCTGTGCTTGTCTATTAAATTCCTGAAGCTGTCTTTCATGTTCTTCAAGCATCTGATCCACTCTGCTTGGTTGAGCCAACATTTGTCCGGACATGTAAATATTGCTATCACTAGGATTATACTATACACATATAAACACAAAAAAAAGGTAAGTTTAAAACCCCATTTGCTATTGGAGAGAATCAAAACATAAATTATATAACTAACCCATGCTGGTAAGACTGGTGTTGTCATATGTCTACTATCCATAGTGTCAGCTCTATTATACGCTCTTCTATCCCTTCTTCTTTGATCCTTGACTGGTTGATCTAACAATGCTTTGGATGAGACTGAGCCAGATAATATCTTCGGTTTTACTCTAGGAGCAGGTGCATTCTCCTTCACATGAATTGTTGACTTAGCCATATTCCGTTTGCTCATATATGGACCTGATTGTGAACCTCTCTCATCACTTTGCTTGTTTCTAGTATGCATATATTGATGATCAGGTCCTTGGCCATGAGAAGTCCTCTCCTCCTTAAACGACTTGAAACTATCGTTTCTGCTTTTCAAATCTAGGTATTGTTTCTGCATTTTGGTAACAAATAGTGAACTGATTATTCAGTTATAGTCCTTGAAAGTTAGAACCATTTCACACTTTACTTACCTCCATGGTTATTGATAGAGTATGATTAGCTTTGATAGGTGGGACATGTTTTCTCTCGTGTGATCTTGAGTCTTGCCTTTCTTGTTTCTCCACCCTCATTTCTCGTTTCCTGTTTTCTCCATCGCGCTTATTAGCATCAATCTCTTTGCTCGGAGGATACTTTGGTAGATGAGATGGATCACAAGCAAACGGCTTGGTTTTGAAGTACTGACAAAACAAAAAAACGATACATACATATATTGGTCACAGAAAACCAAGAACAGAAGAAAACGTTATGCACAAGTTACCTCACTCTCAAGTGCACTATATGCAGTGCTCCGGTGATCAGGGTCTATAGAGAGTAAAGTCTCTAAAAGCAAAAGAACACTCTTGGGAAGGTCCTTAAACATCTCTGATAGTTTCCGTCTATAAGGAACCCTACTTCTGAATCCATCTGAAGACCGTAAGTTATGTTTTCTCCAGTAACTTTCTGCTGGTGAACCACATAGCTTAAAGATTTTATGCAACTGTTCTACCTATAAAGGTTAAGAGAGCTAACTTCAAAACAACATGCAACCACCAATGTTAGTAGGAAATGAATGTGGATTTACCTCGGTTTTTCCTTGTAGGATGGGTTTACCAGCGTACAATTCACCTAAGATGCAACCAGTGCTCCAAAGATCAACTCCAACACCGTAATGACATGCTCCAAGCAAAAGCTCTGGTGGTCGGTACCAAAGAGTGACAACATGGCTAGTCAATGGTATGGTTTTGGCAGGGTCGAAGAATGTGGCTAATCCAAAATCTGCTATCTTCAAGACTCCATTACGGTCTATAAGAAGATTTGAGCACTTTATGTCCCGATGAAGAACACCGCGGCTGTGACAATGTTCAAGCCCACTTAGAAGTTGTTGCATGTAACATTTAACCTAAACAACATAAACATGAGAGTAATAACCCTTAAATAGTACCAAATCATGTTTTCATAACAAGATTAGCACACAAGAAAAAACAAATTCTAAAATATCATTAAATTAAAGTTCAAATATATTTTCACTTTGTATTTGGATTTGAATTTAATGATTAGGATTCATGGTTTAGTATTTACCGGTAGGAGTGGAGGTGTGATTAGGATCTAGAAAGTAGAATAATTTAAAATTTCCATGTTGTTATTTTGAGATTTGGATCATTCAGTGTTGTATTTTTTTTTCACATTGAACGTCTTTCATAACATAAAATGGGAAAGACACAACGTTAATCCTTCCCAGTTTTTATCAATTTGAAAATAATATAGCACCGAATGATCAAATTCTTAAAATAGCATTTATTTGATGAAACGTTTAAAACATTCCTCCTAAACATAAAAGAAAGAGATATTTTTACGTGCAGTAGTGGTAGTACCTGAGGCTCAGAGAACTTAACACCGGGTAGTGAACAAAGTCCTGAGAGATCATGATCCATGTACTCGAAAACTAAGTAGAGTGATGATGAAACATGGGCAGTGATCAATGCTTCTAGTTTCAGGACGTTAGGATGATCAAGCCGTCGCATTACTATGATTTCTCTGGCCATAAACTTGACACTTTCTATGTCGTCTAGATCAAACCTGACTTTTTTAAGTGCAACAATCTTGTTATCGATAAGATCACGTGCCCTGTAGACGCTGCTATATGTTCCTTGCCCTATCTGTGCTTCCACAAGAAAAAAAAGACACGTATACCAAAATATTAGTCTTGCTCCCTATACTTTTGGAGATTATATATTAAAATTCTTAAAAAAATGTTTATAGCTTCCAAAATCTCGGCAACTTCTGGACCAATGAGAGGTTTCATAATAAAGGAGGAAACTTACTTTCTCAAGTTTCTCAAAGGTGCTTGCTCGACGTGGAGCCCAATCAACTAATGCTTCACCAGCAACCGAGACTAGCCAAGTAGGCCATGCTGATGACACTTGCTTCAACTCTGTGTCCTTTGGAACAACGACAACATTACTCTGGTTCTTGCTCACTTCCCTAGGAACTGCTTGAACCGAAGCTTCAGCCCCAAGGTTCTCTGGTTCCTTCTCAGCCTGATGATGATGATCAGACTCAACCAACCGAACTTTGGAATCGTTGCTCTTCCATTGGTCTAGCTTCGGTTTTAAAACATTCGGACCAATCTCCACATCATGTTTTACAACAGCACTCGAGGCCCTTGTCAAGTCCTGATCATGATCCATATGAACTTTGGAATCTCTGCTATTCCATCGATCTAGCTTCGGTTTTGTAACATTAAGACCAATCTCCAAGTCAGGTTCTACAACATCACTTGAGACCATTGTCATGTCCTGATCATGAACAGCTTGAACCATGTGATCAACTATTTCAGGATGATCATTAAACCTAGTGGAACTAAACGTTCCGGAGTCAACCAACTTATCTTTGACCTCTCCTCTGCTACTCGATCTATCAAACCCATCTACTCTCGATGAATCAATTCCCGAGGAACGCCTCTCTGATGACTCCTTCAGTGTCGACTTTCTTCTGAAAGGCAGATGTTTGGAACTTATGCAACCCATCGTAAAGATACCCTGAAGAGATAAACAGAGAGACTCAGAACCCGAAAATTCAAGACAGAAGACTCAGAAACAGAGACATTACCTTGAAGCTTGAACGTTCAAAGAGAAAAACCTATGCAAATGAGAGATCCATATTATTTTTTTGTAACAAGGGATCCTTATTACAGAAAAAAAATCCTTATTGTTGTTGTTCTTGTTACATGTTTGACTGATTAAACGCATACGCAGAGTCAGTCAGTCACATCATCTGTCTGTATAATATAAATGCCATATAAGATGAATGTCAATAGCTAACTCAGCCGCCCTTAGTCAACGATATAGATTTTTCTCCACATTATCTGTCTCTCCTCACTCTTTAAACTCTTTTATTATTCTTTTCAAAAGTTCAAACAACGTTCGGTATAAATGATTGGAAAGTGAGTAATAATTGTTTTTGGAAAGGTTTTGCTAGCAGGGTAAAATTGTTTTGGTCAACGTAGATCCTAGATAAATTAACATCTCTTAAAGTCTTGGTCCCCGCTTGCAAGAGTACTTGTATTGACCAAGTTCTTTTGTTTAATATACTTCCACTAAATCGTTTGTTTAACCATATAATAATTCACAAGTTATCTAAATAGTCCGTTCTAATTTTTAATGAAGTTCTCGGAATTATACCTAAACATTAAATATAATGAAGAAAAATGAATATCAAGAACCAGAAAGATGATTAATAAGAAACTAATATGTAAAGAGGTCAGAATTGTGATTTGGAAGATATTGCTTGACTGGGACATATAAAACTATCATGTTGCCAAATACATAAATGTACACGCTTGTTCCTAGTCTTACAATACCTAGGAAATATAACTTTAAACTGGAGATATTCCCTTAATCTACTCAGCTCACACGACAGCACGATGTCTTTAAAGAATGACCAACTCATTTACTTTCTATTGACAACAAACACTTGCTTTTGACAAAACTATTCTATGTAATACTTGCTCAGCTATCATGGTTACATATTCGTTTAGTTGAAGAATTGTTTTATGTACCCCCTATATATGACTCGGTTAAAGACAAATATTATATTTGTGAAGCAAGAGAATCCGAAACCGTCTCTATAGCATACTCTGGTAGATCAATTGTAGTGACGACTAGGGAATGCATCACCATCGAGTAGATTCCTCTCCTGAGCATTCTGACAAATCATTTAAAACCCAATTAAGCTTAGTTAATGTATATTGTATAGATATAATAATGCACGAAAGAAATAAATGATACTCACCTTACGAGGCACTAATATTCACAAACACCATGTTGTGTTCTTACTTTTGTGTCAAATGGTACGTGGATTACCAAAACACAAACACATTAACGATTTCCATCTTGAAATTCACAAATACAAATTCTCAATTTGTATGAGTGGCTAGTGTTTGACCTTGTGCTGATAAAAATCATCATTTTATGGCTACGTACAAGAGTGTATGTAAAATACAGTTTGAGCGGTACAGAAGTTTCGTCCTGTTCTTTCTCATTTTCCAAGATTTCAAAAGAAACTAGACAAAACTTATAGAAAAATGATTCATCTTTCTTTCTTTTTTCTTCTTGTCGGCTATCATAAGCGTAGGGACATTATTAATCAAGACAAATCACATTTTCTTTTTACAAAAAGAAAGACCAAACGCATTTGTTTGTTTATTCTTAACTTCTTATACGACTAAACCAAAAGAATATGCTTACGTCTTCTTAAACATATTGGAAAATTAGTATAAACAGGTATTGTATTTCGTCATAAATAACGAGAGGAAAAATAACAGTTTTTTATACTTAACTGTTTTTATTTTTTTCATTAGTTATTTATACGGATATACATGTTTTAATCTGTGAGATTAATGGAAACTAGATATATGATCTACGCCACTATCAGTTCACGCAGTTTTCATGCATTATGCATTTGTTCCCAGTTTCCATATCAGGATTATCGGAAAATCGGGAAATTTAAAAAAAAAAGCAAATAAAAAAGGAAAACTTTAAGCGCGTGTTCTCCACTACAAACCTCCAAAGCAACGAGTGTAAAGCACGCTCTGCGATGTGAGAGTGGTACTCACGTGGACTACTACTAATCTATTTCCGAAGACTTTTCTCCAAATCTTTCTTTCTTCTTTTTCTCTTTCAGCTTCGGACAAATCCCAAATCACGGAGATTTCAATTTTCAGACCATAGTACAAAGTCCCCCCTCCCTGCAAGAAAAAAGAAAAACACTCAGATCTCCAGATGGTGGATTCTCCAAGAGCATCGAGTTCATCTTCTTCGTTACCTCCTCCAAGATCGTACCTCATCTTTATGCGAATCATGAGCAAGAGAAGGACATGGGTCTGTCTCTTTGTCGCTGTCTACGCCATTCTCCTGTCTTCCTCATGGAACTTCTTGACATCTGTGCTTAGCTGGTACAAGCTCCAGTACACGTCATCGCCGTCGCCGTCTCGAATACCGGCGGTTTACGCTTCTGTGGTGTTGGGAGCAGTGTTCGGAGCGATGTCGATGGTTGCGGCGGCGGCGGTGGCTGTTCCGGCGGTGATGGTGATATGGATATCGGTGGTTGTGTTGCTTGCTTTCTTTGGGAAGTCGAGAAGAGATTTGGTTGTAGAAGCTCGGAAGATTACTAGAGAAGTGTTTGGGTTTGTGTTTAAGGTTCTTTTGAAAGAAGGCAATGCTGTTGCTGCTGTTTGTGCTGTTTTGGGTTATTTTCTTCTTATTAGAAAGGATTTTGATTCGGTTTAAGTGTTTTGATCTTGGAAGAATCTGACGATTTTTATTAAGAAACTTTGGTCTTTTTGTTTCTTGTTTTAACCTTTTGTTAATGTAGAAACTAGCAATGTATATGTACATTTTTTATGATCATATAACTGTGATGTTCATGAAATTATTTTATTGAAATTGTGTGAAATTGTTAAAATTTTTGATTGTAATTGTTAAGTAGTATGCTTGCTTTGCATTGTTGGGTAAGGTTCATGGTTAAACCATCCCTGTATCCCCAACAAACCAAATCGAACAGAAACAAAGAAAAAAAAATTAATTAGATTCTTTAGTTGTAATCTATTTATAATTTAACATGTCAAAATAAAAATGAAATTGCATTGCTGTATAAAGACAAATCTTCATGAAGCAAAATGTTTGTTTTGAAGTGAGGTGTTGCACTAACTTGCAAAATGCGTTTGCTTCAACCACTGGAACTTACATGAAACAGGGCATGATCTTTTGTATCTGATGTAATCAAATCCTTGCCAGGAATCTATCTAGTGAACTGGTTCGGTAGTTAGCAAATGTTGATGGGGTTTCTCACTTTACGAGTTATGGACCTGCCCATTCTTAAGCGTCTTCCTGTTAGTGAGTCCAGTAGTATGACTAAAGCTTCCTCGACTGCATCGGCTTGTTTATCTAAGCCGTGACTGCTTAATTGTGGGAGAAGGCTCAGCTCAGATAGGAGTGCAATTGCTGCTGCTGCGGTACAAGTCCGGTCCCATGATGGTTGTGGCCTGTAGGGTAAAATATCAGATGTAGAGAAAGATTCACTTTTGTGGCACATGAGTAATATAGAGATTTGAGAATGTTGTGTACCTGAGTTTGTGCATTGCTGATGCACCTGTTGCAAGAGATATGCAAGGAAGATCTTCATCTCCCCATACTGTCTTTGCATGATCCTACACAGAAGGTTCTCTTAGTGTATTAGCAAAAGAACAAATGTCTGTATGAGATATAGTCAATTGCAAAGGTTATTATACCTTGAGACGCTTGAGCATTGCAGCTGAATTGTTCCACGTGCCATCAAGCAGAATGAAATGTAAAGTTTTATCCTCATCTGCCTGGAAATAGAAAGTGTAGCGATCAAAGAAGACAATTCCTTTTATATTCTAAGACAAGTACAGAGAACCTATATATAACCCATGATGTTGCTAGTCATTACCATGGATGAACCAGGATTCTCTGAAGTGGAACTACCAAAAGTGTTTTCAACAGACAAGGTGAGTTCCGAGTTCTGGTTGGGATAGAGGCAACGGACATTGCTTTTTCCTAAGCATCCATCACAAGGAAAACGCTAGGCATTTAGCAAATAAACAAATGCATCTGAAACTAGCAGGGGATGTAAGACTACTAGTATAATCAAACACCTGCACGCTTAAACTCATTCCACATGAGCTCTTCGTCTTCAGCTATTCCAAAGACGCAGAGTGAAGCAGAGTGTACGCCAAATACTTGCCACAACAACTTCCCTGTGTTGTTCTGTCGCAGAAAATCCTATCAACAACGAAACAACATGTCAATACACAGAAATTTGAGGTACAACCACCTCAATAGCCGAGGACCAATACTAACTAACCCTAGGATGCATATAGAGCCAAAAACGTATCCTTTTCCATAAACCACACGTCTTGACGTTTGAACACATGCAATCTTCCATAGCAAGCCAGCACTGCAAACACAAAATCAGTAAATTGAGTTCTTCTTATTCATTACGCACTTAAAAAAAAATGGAAGTAGAACCTTCTGGCATAAATAACCCCTGCTCCCAAGCAGCCTACAAGCAACTTGTCGAGCAGAGAAAAAGCGAAACTTCTTCTCAGGGTCATCTAATGCTTCATATGTAGCCCTATGCTTCTTATCTTCATATGCACCAAAAGCTCCCTGACATAGTTTCACAGTAGTAGAAGTATCATAACACATCTAACAAGGACACATATCAACTCAATCATATATAAACCAGTGGCATTACTCAAATATTCAATAAGAAGAACCACAACGACTTTTGGATCAATTTCATTTCTTAACTCACAAAAGATCCTCAGAAAAGTACCTGTAACTTGCCACCATTTCCACCAAACTCAATCTGCGCATCCACTTTAAGCTCAAGAACCTTCAAATCATCCACAATCTGTTTGACGGAAGCTGGAAACGGAGAAACCGCTCCCCATCTCCGCCACTCATCTTCCGTGATGACTCCGTCATCACAACCTCCAGATTCCCTCGACCGAACTTGCGAACTAACGGAACTCATGACTAATCTCCGGCCAATGCCTCCGAGTTGAAAAGGAGAGAAGTCAAGTGCAGAAGCTCCGGCGAAACAACGCATCGTCTCCCACTTTGGGTTTATCGAGGAATAAATGTTTCACTATTTTCTAAAAGTGGATATAGGCTTTCATAAATATCAGGCCCAATAAGCTCTTTATGATTTAATAACCTTTGAAGAAAAGGTGTTGTAGTTTTATTTAGTACTAGTACTAGATGATATATGCCTGAGATGAGTTTTTTATACTAATGTTTATTCGATATTAACATTTTGTAACACTATAATCTTTATCGATTATAAAATAACGAATACAAATGTTGGTCTTTTAAGTATATCATATGTCTGGGCATTCGGAGTTCTGTCGATTTTAATTCGATTGATTTAGATTTTCAAAAAATTGATATTATGCTTTTCAGACTCATTCAGGTTTTATTAATTATCAAATCGGTTTCGATTCCTTTCGGATTCGTTTTAGATCGGATTGTAACCAAAATTTAAAATCGTCTCAAAAATATTTTTGAAACCTCAATATATTTAAACTATTCGTAAATATAATTTGAGGATCGCATCGGTTTCACTCTCTACTTGACAGATGTTCTCCGTGGGAGGATTGAGAACTCGCGTCTCTCTATCATCGGTCTCAAAGAATTCTAGAGTTTCTCGATTACGACGAGGAGGGATCATCTGTGAAGCTCAGGACACTACTACATGGAGTATGTTCTCATCTCTCTTTTGCTGTTCGATAATGCGTTTAGTTTGGCTGTTAAAGTGATTCTTTTTGAAAAGTGTTGAACTTTCTATGGAATTGCAGACATTTTATTTGTAAAATAGCAGAAAGTTTGTATATTTGGATCTATGATGAATTGACTATAGAAACTGAGATGTTTGTTTGTTGGATAATATAAGATCATTAAGTGGGGTCACATATGTTAAGGTATAAATGTGATAGGATCATTAATTAATTAGCCTAAATATGGTTACTTTTGTGAATAAGGAAAATGTTTGGGCAAAAAAAAAAGGAAAAAATTTGGGCATAAATGTTATGAAATATTTATATGTGGATACTTTAATAATATCTAGTGTAATGAAGGGCTGAACTATAAATTAATACTCTATATAAGAGGGTTATAGACAACCCTAGCCGAAAATAAAGAACTCTCTATTTCTCATCAATAAAGAACTAGAGTCACATAGAGTTTACTTTAGAAGATCAATTCCCTAACTTCAAATCCTAGAATGATGGATACATCAGGTATGTTTCTGTTTATATCTATTCAATAAGATAATCATATGGTCAAAGGATTCATATTGATGAATCACAAAGAATAAATCTAACAGATATCACACACTGATTCAAGGATTGTTTTGAAATCTACATTAAACATTGACGTTTAAAAGAATTGTTGAAATATATCATTGAATAACCTAAATAATTGATGGAAACTTTGTTTTCTTTTTTCAAATCAGTCAAAATTATAATTCACTATCATCTCCTAAACATTGTAGTGTTGAATTTGAAAAAAATAAATAAAAAAATTTAGAAAATAAGAAAATTAGGTGATATAACCAACAAAAAACCCATAATCTAAAAAATAATCAAAATCACACCCTCTCTCCTATTTTCTCTTCTTATCTCACTCTACAAAACTATTTTTTGTTTTAGTTATTATACAACTAAGCCCTAGAAAATATAAAGCAAAAAAAAAAAGGTCCAAATGAGTCGTTATATTATTTTGCAAGTGAAATGGGGCATATAAAAGGACATATGGTTGAGCCGTATTATGACATCTCATAATATTGTTGCAATTCTCCTTTCGCAAGTGAATTGAAGGCCCAGTGAGCTTATAGCCGTATTCAGATCAACATTTTTTTTTCCGTTTGTTATCTTTTTCATATATTTCTTGCCTGGATATAATTACATATGAGGTCTCAGAAGAATCTCAGGAACCGAACCTATCTCGTGTGTTTCTTGTTTTTCACTACCTCTCTATACAATGGCTGCTTTCACCTGTACTTATTGTCCGCTGATTTGTCTCCGGTCAGAGATGAGGATCGCATCGGTTTCATTCTCTACGCGACAGATTTTCTCAGTGGGAGGATTGAGAACTCGCGTCTCTCTATCATCGGTCTCAAAGAACTCTAGAGTTTCTCGATTTCGACGAGGAGGAATCATCTGTGAAGCTCAGGACACTACTACAGGGAGTATGTTCTCATCTCTCTTTTGCTATTGGATAATGCGTTTAGTTTGGTTGATGATTCGCTCATCTATGTAAACCTTTGTGAATTTTGGCTGTTAAACCTTGTGGATTGTTGTTGAAATTTCTCTGGAATTGCAGACATTTGAGTATATAAAATTGCAGAAAGTTTGCATAATTTCTGGTAAATGTTTTTTAGATCTTAAAACCACTTGTGGTACTCGTTATGCTGATGTTATGAAGCATTATGTAAATATTGTTTTGTTCTCGCTTCATTGATAATTAGGTTTTGGACCATAATGACCATTTGAAGTTGGTTTTGCTATTGTATACTTGCAGTTCCAATGGTGAACGATTCAACATGGGAGTCTCTAGTACTCAAGGCTGATGAGCCTGTTGTTGTGGACTTTTGGGCACCATGGTGTGGACCCTGCAAAATGATTGATCCCATTGTCAATGAACTAGCACAGCAGTACACCGGAAAAATCAAATTCTTCAAACTAAACACAGATGACTCTCCTGCTACCCCCGGAAAGTACGGTGTTAGAAGCATCCCTACCATCATGATCTTTGTTAAGGGAGAGAAGAAGGATACAATCATCGGTGCAGTGCCTAAAACCACATTAGCTACAAGCATTGATAAATTCTTGCAGTGAAGCATGTGGATATCTCTCTTTTCTTCTCTATATGTCTTTGGACTTAACTTATCTACTACTCCTACTCATCTAGACATGTATAATATAATAATATAATGTCGGTTTTCAGAAATCGAGTTTATGATACACGTTTTCATTTATTAATGGAGTCAATGAACAAATCCTATTATTTAATTTCCTTGCTTGGCATGCTAAGTCAATTGCTTGATCAGATCAAATAGTATGGTTGCTTCCACCAGTTTTCTTGACAAATCTCAAAACTTAAGAACCAGCTCTTTCTCCCTCTTTCATCTAAAGGATTTCAAAACATCTAAGGTAATCTTTGGGAGTGTATTTATTTTTCATGTTTAAGCTTATGGTAGTGTTTGTCAACGTCTATGATCTAATTTCTGAATCTGATTCTTAGAAACATATACAGAGATTTAATTAAGCAACTTGGATATGGCCTTGGGATCTCCTGTCTCACCAAATGGTTCACAACCAATTCTTTGGAGTGCTTCACCAAGTTACAGAAGTTCTAACAGTCAAAACACAGAAGCTTCAAAGGATGGTATCAAAACTCTCAGGTGGACTGTAACAGCTGTGGTAACTTCAACAGTTGTTATATATATCACATGTACAAAGCTTTACATCAGTTCTGCTCCAGATTTAAGCATCACAGGTTTTATCAAGACAGCAATGTTCACGGTTTGTATGTTGTGCAACACCGTTCCGATGATTGCTTCTGTTGAAGCTATAGTTTATCTTATCCGGCCAGAACATCCGAGTGATTTTGGTTTCAGAGTTGAAGCTAACATAGGAGCCTTAGCACTTGTGACAGTTAGTTTTGTGTCTATGTTTGTTGCTTTTATGGTCGGAGTTTTTCTTGTGGTGATCCTTCGTATATGGCATTCCTTCTTCTATGTTTAGCAGATAAGTGATTGGTTTTGTAAACAGTTTCCATGATTACACACATTCAAACTCATAAATGTTGATAAAGGTCATTACCATAATCTATTGTCAATTCACGTTTGTCTAAATAATTGTTTCTGATTTGTAATTGTTTCTCTAATTAGTATTGCATGTAAGCAACACTGGATCTAGCACTAGAGCATGTACTATAAGTCTATAATTAATAAAGGGATAGCCATGTTCCAGTGAGGACCAAATTGTCATCAACTTAAATTTGGTGGGCCATTTCATAATTTCGAATAGTTTCTAAAGTCAAAAGTCGTTAACCGTCACAAAAGAATATCAACTAAGAATGTTAAAACGGGTTTAGAGTTAAGTTAGTTCATGTGAAGTTCGTTTAACATGAAGCCTGTTTAAAGCATGTTTTTACATTTAAAAAAATTGCTTGATGCATATTTTTCTATTAAGGATACTCAAGTCTCGGAGCAATCTGTCAAATGTATCCGCTAAAATACAAAAGGCCATAAACTTAACATTGCTTGATCGAGTCAATGAACTAATCTTATTTAATTTCCTTGCTTGGCAAGCTAAAGCTAAGTCAATTGCTTGATTGGACCAATTAGTTTGGATGCTACCCCAATTTGCTTGGAAAATCTCAAAACTTGAGCATCATCTCCTTTATCTTTCATCTAGTAGATTTCAAAACGTCTGAGGTAATCTTCAGTATCATCTTTTGTATTTGTCAACGTTTATGATCTAACTTTTGAATCATCATGTCTTTTGATTTCTTACAGAGATTTAATCAACTTGGATATGGGTATCAAAGCTCTCAGGTGGACTGCAAAAATTGTGTTCACTTTGACAATTGTTATATATTACACATGTACAAAGTTTTACATCAGTTCTGCTCCAAATTTAAGCATCACAGGTTTTGTCAAAACAGCAGTGTTCACGGTTTGTATGTTGAGCAACACCGTTCTAATGCGTATGTCTGTTCATGCTTTAATATTAGTTTATATGGCCAGCATATTCGAATGATCTTTGTTTGAAAATTGAAGCTAAGCACATAACAGCTTTAGCACTTGTCACAGTTACTTTTATGTCTATGTTGGTTGCTACTTGCTTTTATGGTCCGAGTTTGACCTGTGTTGATCCTTCGTCTATTGCATTCCTTCTTGTATGTTTAGCACATAACTACTTGGTTTTGTGTACAGTTTCCATGATTAAAGATCATTACCACAATCTATTGTCAATCCACATTTGTCTAGATAATTGTTCCTGATTTGTATTTGCTTCTCTAATTATATAAATAAAGGGATAGCCATGTTTCAACGAGGACCAAATTGTTATCAACGTAAATTTGGCGGGTCAGTTTGTGATGTTGATATTACTTTATGTGTATCTTATATGTATGAGATGAGGAACTAAATACACTGAGCGAGTTTACGATGCTCTTCCACCGCTTGCTAAGATGATAAAAAGATGCTTCACCTATATATGAAGGAAGCTAAGGCAGAGGAGGTGAGAGATGGTTAATGAGCTGAAACACAGAGCTGAAAGATGTTTAATGAGCCAACGTCTAATTCTATTATTCAATGCTTGCTGTTGATTAAGTCAATGGCTTTATAGGATCAAATAGTTTGGAAATTACCCCCATTTTCTTGACAAATCTCAGAACTTCAAGTCTCCAAGCAATCTATCAGATGTTTAGCACATAACTACTTGGTTTTGTGTACAGTTTATATTACACAGGTACAAAGCTTTACATCTTTAACCCTTGTTGCTTAGAGAGTTGCTTAGGGGGAGAAAGGTGCTTATTTTGAAGAGAGAGAGTGTGAAAAGTGCTTAATTAAGCAATTTTCACACTCTCTCTCTTCAAAATAAGCACCATTCTCCCCCTAAGCAACTCTCTAAGTAACATGGGTTAAAGGTGCTCTAAGCTAGAATACAAAAGTCCATAAAACTAACATTACTTGATCAAGTCACCGAACTAAGCCTATTATTTTATTTAATTTCATTCAGAGTTTCTTCTTTCTTATTTAATCAAGTCATTTGCTTGGAAAATTTCAAAACTTGAGCATCATCTGTTCTTCCTCTTTCATCTACTAGATTTGAAAACATCTGAGGTAATCTTCAGCATCATCTTTTATATTTGTCAACGTCTATGATCTAACTTTTTATATCGGATTTTTCTTAGCAACATGCGCTTGTCATTAAATCTTATCATCATGTCTCTTAATTTCTGACAGTAATTTAATCAACTTTGGATATGGCCGTGGTGGTGGGTGGTCTCAAAACTCTCAAGTGGACTCTAAGAATTGTGGTAACTTTGACAATTATTATATATTACACAGCTACAAAGCTTTACATCAGTTCTGCTCCAGATTTAAGTATCTCAGGTTTTGTCAAAACAGTAGTGTTCACGGTTTGTATATTGAACAACACCGTTCTACTATTTTTTGCTTTTGAGAAAATAGTTTATCTTATCTGGCCAGAACATTCGAATGATCTTTGTTTGAGAGTTAAAACTAAGCACATAAAAGCCTTAGCACTTGTCACAGTTACATTTGTGTCTTTGTTGGTTGCTTCTATGGTCGGAGTTTGACTTGTGTTGATCCTGTGGCATTCCTTCTTCTGTGTTTACTACATAACTACTTGTGGGTTTTGTAAACAACTTTCCATGATTAAAGATCATTTCAATTCACATTTGTCTAGATAATTGTGACTGATTTGTAATTGTTTCTCTAATTAAATGAATAAAAGAGATAGCCACGTTCCAATGAGGACTAAATTGCCATCAACTTAAATTTGGTGGGTCATTTCATAATTTCGAATAGTTTCTAAAGTCAAAGTCTGCCATCTTAAAAAAAAAACCTATAAAAAGGCGACACCTTTTTCCAATGTATCCCACTGTATACGAGCAAACATCAACATCGAAAGATCGAATCTTTTTACAATGGAGAAAGGAGTTCCGGTAGAACTAACAAGAGGGTCTACTAATTGGACCAAAGTGGTGGAAGAGATCGTGAAGATGGAGAAGAAAACGTTCCCTAAACACGAATCTCTCGCTCAAACATTCGACGGAGAGCTACGCAAGAGAAACGCTGGATTGCTATACGTGGAAAGTGAAGGAGAGACTTTGGGATATGTCATGTATTCTTGGCCGTCTTCTCTGGCCGCTTCCATAACAAAGCTCGCAGGTATATACATACATGTCCACCAACTGTTCGATGAAATTACGCAGTGATAAGATTAAGTAGTTTAACCTTCCAAACTTCTAGTGAAATGTGTTTTAAAATGTTTGATAAATTAACTGTTAGAATATGGAATGTTACTTATTAGACAAGCTAACAGCTATTACAATCAGAATGAATGTATTTTCCTGTGCTTTTATTTGTTGGAATATGCAGTGAAGGAGAGTTGCAGGAGACAAGGCCATGGAGAAGCATTATTAAGAGCAGCGATTGAAAAGTGCAGAAGCAGAAAGGTACAACGGGTCTCACTTCATGTCGACCCCACTAGGATTGCTGCGGTGAATCTGTACAAAAAGTTTGGGTTCCAAGTAGACTGTCTGGTGAAAAGCTACTACTCTGCAGATAGAGATGCTTACAGAATGTACATTGATTTTGAAGACTCTGTTTAGCTAAAAAAAGATTTATTGGGGGTTATCATAGCCATGGTGAAAGCATTGTTGTGATAGTGAATCAATTGGTTTGTTTTACAATATACTTCTACCAATTATTTGCTGTTTTACAATACTTAATGGAAGTTTTGGGCGACTATTAAAAATTTCTTTGTAAAATCTACATGATATGGGCGTGGGGTATATGCATTGTATGTAAATAGCTTCTTCATAGCTTAGGATTTATATCATACTAAATAACTAATATCAAAAGCGGGGATAGCTCAGTTGGGAGAGCGTCAGACTGAAGATCTGAAGGTCGCGTGTTCGATCGACGTTCACCGCATTATTTATTTTAGGCTAACGTCAATATAATTTCGTTCCAAAAATAACTAAGCATTAGCTCTTAATAAATAAATTTAACATTTCAAAAAAAGAAATATCATACTAAATCTTTTTTTTGGAATTTTGAATAATTACCAAAATTAATGACAATAATTAAGATAAACAATTTAATATATTAATGATTATGTTATTCCGATTACAAATTACTAAACATTTTAGGCTAACATCAATACGACTTCGTTCCAAAAATTTATTTTAGGCTAACGTCAATATAATTTCGTTCCAAAAATAGCTAAGCATTAGCTCTTAATAAATAAATTTAACATTTCAAAAAAAGAAATATCATACTAAATCTTTTTTTTTGGAATTTTGAATAATTACCAAAATTAATGACAATAATTAAGATAAACAATTTAATATATTAATGATTATGTTACTCCGATTACAAATTATTAAACATTTTAGGCTAACATCAATACGACTTTGTTCCAAAAATAGGCATTAGCTTATAATAAATAAATTTAACATCTCAAAAAATATATCATACTAAAATCTTTCCTTTTGGGCTTTCGAAACAATTACCAAAATTAATGACGATAATTAAAATAAGTAATTTAATATATTAATGATTATGTTATTGCGATTACAAATAATTTTTCATTGAATATCGCATTAGTTTATACTTAAAAATAATGAAAAGTCTATAGATGAAGTAATCATTTTTCTAAAATTTGATATATAGACGACTTCTACTTACCTGCAACATGAAAAAAAAACTAGTTAAATAAAAAAGAAACAAGCTTAAAATAATCATCAATAATCACAAATAAAAATAAACCAAGCAAAAAAGATTCAATTGTTGAAAACAAATTAGTTGCATAATAACACTATAACTCATAAAATGACTATTACACAATGACAATTTCATAAATTGATAAACAGATTGAACAATGAGTGTACATTGATCTTATTTCATGTATTTAAACAATAAGAACTATGGTTGCACTTACACTATGTGGTTTATAGGGCTAATCAGTTCATAAAAGTGTAAAATGTCTTTTGAAAAAAAAGAGGTCCCACCGAGAATTGAACTCGGGTTACCAGATTCAGAGTCTGATGTCCTAACCGCCAGACCATGGGACCATTCGATAAGCCTTGCTCCACGTTGCTTAACAAACACAAAATACTTCGAGTAGTATATGACAAGTGTCGCTGCCGCACCGGTAGCCTGAGTAAATAACCGATGCGAAGACTTTCCCGGAAGCCCTTTTGTATGTTTCATGTAAAACTCTTCACAAAGCTTCTGTCTGTACAAAAATGGGAGCTTTTTGTCGTGGGTTGATTCAAAAGGCTTACCTTTACCAAGTTCAGGGACGAGTGTTAGGTGTCTGTCGAGTAGCAGTTCTCTTCCTCCTCCAGAATGGATAGAACCCTTTACCGATCTGGTGGTCTAGACTACTAATCTCTGGCCGTCCTCATGGGTTAACCATGGAATCGAGTTTAGACGGTTTCTTGCAGTAAGTTTCTTATCAAACAAAGTACGCACAAGCTCGAGTGTTATGTGTTTCATTAGTTGATGTCTTTGGCTTTTGCAAAAGATGCGGATAGGATTAGGTTTGTCTTGTGGTGAGTATAGGAGAATGGAGTTTCATATGAGTGTTTCTGCTGCGAATGAGATTGGAATGGTTGGAGGAGTTGTTGTGGGCGTGGCGCAAGATGAAGGAGAATGGTATTATTGAGCCTACTTTGTATACTTATTAACTTTTTGATGAATGGGTTAGTGAGCTCCACGTTCATTGATTCAGCAGAGCGTGTTTTTGAGGTTATGGAAAGTGGAGGACCAATGATATGGATGCAAGAGGCCTTGAGGCTGATAAGGTTACATATATGACAATGATTCAAGCCTGTTATGCAGATAGTGATTTTGGTTCTTGTGTGGTTTTTTTTTTTTTTTTTTTTTTATCGAGAAATGGATGAAAAAAGGGGCTTCAAGTCCCGCCTCATGCGGGAGTAGAGTAGATGAAACTTTTTGAAGAGATGTCTGAGAAGGGATGCACTAGGGATTCATACTGTTACAATAGTTTATGGTGAGTGCTTGCTTGTTTGTCACATGTGTTAACCCAAATAAATTCAATTAAAGTCACCATGACCAAATTTAGAAAATTTTCTGTTGAAAATGTGCTGAACACAAAACGAAGAGAGCACCATTTAAAATGCCTTGGTTTTCTCTGGCGTGCACAGGTGCCATTAGTTTTGTTATATCTCTCTCTCTCTCACTACAATGTATAGTAACCATTCATTGAAACCATTTTCTCAAGCATTCTTGATTTCTGTCAACATCCAACGACCTCCTCAATCTCCAAAACTCAAAAATGGCAAGACAAGATCCCAATCCTTTTGCTGATGAAGAAACCAATCCTTTTGCGGTAAAGAGAATCAAGGATCAAATCACTGATCTTTCTGTAATTCTTTTACACGTTTGATTGATCGATGTTCTAATTGTTTTAGGATAATACAAATGTTCCTCCTGCAAGCAACTCCTCCTATCTCAAGCCTCTTCCACCTGAACCTCATGATCGTGGTGCAACCGTAGATATCCCTTTGGATTCTGACAAGGTAAACCATATCTTCATTACCTTCTACCATGTTTCCTTTCAGAATCTCATTTTTAGCTGTTTCTGTTTGAAGGATCTTCGAGCTAAAGAGATGGAACTTCAGGCTAAGGAGAAGGAATTGAACCGGAAAGAGCAGGTAACTTCTTCTAGCTTCCATGTGACCTACAGTTTCCATGTTAATTGTATTGATCAGTCTTCTTGTTCTTCTCATAAATGCAGGAGCTGAAAAGAAGAGAAGATGCAATAGCAAAAAGTAGAGAATCTGTTTTTTTTTCTACATCGTCCATTGACAATGTTTTGTAGCTAACCTGATACGCTTGTTTTTGGCAGCTGGAGTTGTCATCGAGGAGAAGAACTGGCCAGACTTTTTCCCTCTAATTCATCATGACATTCCTAATGAGATTCCCATTCATTTACAGAAGATCCAATACGTCGCATTCACCACGTTTTTAGGTAACGCAAAGGCCACCCTTAGACCGCTGCAACACGTCCTGGACCTGTCTAGAGTCCAGTTAAAAGTTAAAAAAAAGACTAAAAACTCTTGAACTATGCAGGATTAATAGGATGTCTCTTGTGGAATATTGTGGCAGTAACTGTAGCTTGGATCAAAGGAGGAGGTATACTTACTTACTGTTTTTACCCAAATGATCAGATTCATATTTGTTATTACCACTGATCATGTTCACTCATCTGATTCTGATGTTATCAGGTCCAACTATATGGCTTATGTCAATCATTTACTTCATTTCTGGGGTCCCTGGGGCTTACGTCCTATGGTATCGTCCTCTTTACCGAGCTTCCAGGTAAAATCACCTCTATAAGTATATGCTGGAACTTACTCAAGAACAAGGGGAAAAGATCTCTTAGATATTAAATGAGTTAATAATAATACAATGTGTGCACGTACCCATGCAGAACTGATAGTGCCCTGAAGTTTGGAACTTTCTTCGTGTTTTACGTGGTAAGATAAACCGTATCCCCATTGTTAAATTTCCTCTGCATCATGATAAAACCACTAAGCTTTGGATGTTTTAACACTGTCTTGAACTTTTCAGTTTCACATTGCATTCTGCGGCTTTGCTGCAGTTGCTCCACCAGTTATCTTTCAAGGAAAGTCTCTCACGTAAGAGTTTTATTCTATAGGAAAAGCATCTGAACCAACCTCCTTTACATTCTTTACTCAACTCTCTTGAGGAAGTCCCATCTGATTCCATGTATTGTTAATTTGGTGGACAGAGGTTTCTTGCCAGCACTTGAGCTTCTAACTACTAATTCTGCGGTCGGAGTAAGTATTACTTCTGCTCATTTAACTTCAGCTTGCAACAGTCTTACCTTACCAATATCCGTTTCCTCCCTCATAGATATTGTACTTCATTGGAGCGGGGTTCTTCTGCATAGAAACACTTCTCAACATATGGGTGATTCAGCAAGTATATGCATACTTCCGAGGGAGTGGGAAAGCTGCACAGATGAAGCGTGAAGCTGCAACATCGACCTTGATGCGTGCACTATGAAGGCAAAACACTCTTCACTGGAAAAATGTATCAATGGTGGCTCCACACAACATTTGGTACAAACCCATTTGCTCTGCAAGGTAGGTGTAGGCTAGCAATTTTCTTCTTGGTTCGAATTACTTTGTAAAGACTAAAATCAAGTACATGGAGACCTCAAGGCGAAACTGTGTAGTTCAATTGTTTAATGAGAATCAATCCAGCTCTGTCCAATAAATAGTCTTTGCTACTTCTCTTCTGACCAATGACCATCAACCTACAAATCTTGAGTGCATCACTATTGGGCTTTTCTAGGCTCGAATAGTGTAAGCGAAGTGGCAATTATATTGGGTTCTAAGAACAAGTCCAACTGGTAAGTTTGATTAAAAAAATTTTAAAAAATGCGCTGTTGCCGGGGATCGAATCCGGGTCACCCGGGTGATAGGCGGGAATACTTACTACTATACTACAACGACTCTGTTGATAGTACTATTACAAAGAGAATTATCAAACGTTAATTTAGTTGTTAGTAAAGCCAAAAGTTGTTAATGGCGTTTCTTAACCCACACCCAAAAAGAAAAAAAAGGTCACGTTTTGGGACTAATTTGAGCTATAAAACCAAATTTAATTATATTTAACTATGGATAAGATTAGAAAAGCGGATTGATTAAACCAACTTAAACCGCGGTTGAAAAGCGTTTCTGGTCTGGTCTAGTTATGGGATTAGTTGACTTGGACAATGGTTTTGAAACCGAAGAGAAGCGAAACAATGGGACTTGACTTTTAAAAAGCAAAAAAAAACAGTGGAAGAAAGGAAGAGAAAGCGGTCAAAATCAGTGGACGACGACACGACAAACTTTCTTATCATCATCATTAAAAGATCTCTCTCTCTCTCTCTCTATCCAGCTTCTTCAACATCAAATCCAATTCGGAGAGAAATAACAACAATGGCTTCTCACTCTTCAACTCTATTCTCTTCTCCTCCTCGCGCCTTCGCTCCTCCCTTCTCCTCTCATCGTCTCTGTTTCAATCTCCGTTTCCCCCGACCAATCAATACTAAACCCAATAATCACTCCCTCCGATGTTCTGTCTCAATAGAGAAAGAAGTCCCCGAAACAGAACGACCCTTCACATTCCTCAGAGACTCTGATGACAACTCCACTCATTCTTCTTCAACTTCTTCAGTCAGGGCTCGTTTCGAAGCCATGATTAGAGCTGCGCAAGACAGTGTTTGCGAGGCCATTGAAGCTGTCGAAGACGGTCCGAAATTCAAAGAAGATGTTTGGTCTCGACCAGGTGGAGGAGGTGGAATCAGCCGAGTTTTGCAAGATGGGAATGTGTTTGAGAAAGCAGGGGTTAATGTCTCTGTTGTTTATGGTGTTATGCCTCCTGAAGCTTATAGAGCTGCTAAAGGCTCTGCTTCTTCTGATCACAAACCTGGTCCTGTTCCTTTCTTCGCCGCCGGTGTCAGCTCCGTAACAATCCAATCTCTCTTTCTCTCTTTACTTTTCATTTTCATCACAGAAGTATTCAAAGATTGAGTTTTTATTTGTGATTCTTCTTGCAGGTATTGCATCCCAAGAACCCTTTTGCACCAACTCTGCATTTCAACTATCGCTATTTCGAGACTGATGCTCCAAAGGGTAACACGCAAAACTCTTTGTCAAAGTGTAAAAGTACAGTCTTTTTGTTTGATTTTGCTTCTTTTTTTTTTTGTCAATGTTTAGATGTTCCTGGAGCTCCGAGGCAATGGTGGTTTGGTGGTGGCACTGATTTCACGCCAGCTTACATCTTTGAAGACGATGTCAAGCATTTCCATACGGTCTTTAAACCTTGTTCCTTCTTTGAGCTTTGTGATTGACGGAGTTTTTGGTCTTATTATAAAGCTTATCTTTCTTTGTTGTAGATTCAAAAGCAAGCGTGTGACAAGTTCGACCCTTCTTTCTATCCTCGGTTTAAGAAATGGTGCGATGACTACTTTTACATCAAGGTAATGAGGCTTTTGTTCTCTCAAAATAGTGTCTAGGAACAGCTCAGAGACTAAGGGTCTTTTATAAGCTTGTTGGTTTGTGTTAAGGGCTCTTTGATCTTGCTTTGCTTGCAGCACCGTGATGAGAGACGAGGACTTGGAGGGATATTCTTTGACGATCTTAATGACTATGATCAGGAAATGCTTCTTGCATTCTCCACTGGTAATATTGGACTATGAACGATAACATTATAATCAGCTTAGTGTTCTTGGTAGACTAATTTGAGTTGATTTGGGATTTCACAGAATGTGCCAACTCAGTGGTACCAGCTTATATACCTATAGTAGAGATAAGGAAAGACATGGAATTTACAGAGCAGCACAAGGCATGGCAACAGTTGCGAAGAGGAAGATATGTTGAATTCAACTTGGTATTATAATAACAGCCACTAGCTTTTATGAGCCCTGGTACTTTGTTATGAACCTTGTGCTTGTCTAATGTGTGTTTGTGTTGATTGGAAAAGGTATATGATCGTGGAACTACATTTGGTCTGAAGACAGGAGGGAGAATAGAGAGTATTCTTGTCTCTCTTCCACTGTCAGCAAGATGGGAATATGACCATGTAAGTTCCTTTTCCAATTTGTGAAGACAACTAAGTCCTAACTCATTCAGATATAACAAAGGTAGTAACGATGTTTTTGTTGGGTGTAGAAACCGGAAGAGGGGACAGAGGAGTGGAAGCTATTGGATGCTTGTATCAACCCCAAAGAGTGGATATAGACCGTGTGAGGCTGAATGAGTGTTTGTTTCTTGTTTTAGTTTTGAGCAGCTTTAGAGAGATTAGAGTACTCAAGAGATAGAGAAATGGAGAGTTTGTAAGGTGATTGTGTATTGGGAACATTGAAACGCTATCATTATGTTTTATAGAATCCAAAGCTTAATAAGACAACCATGATTCATAAAGTGTTTAGAATCACTAATTAAGAAAAGATGAACAACATCTCTAGAATACAATAAGAAAACAAAAGAACGAATAAGATATAAAGACTGATTAAGAGCCTATGATCCTAAACATTAATCTATAAATAGTGAAGAAATATGGTAGATGTGAAGCTTACATCAAATGTTTAGAATCATGGTCTTGTAGTTGAATTTTCTATCGATATATACATTAATCTATAAGTTGTGCAAAATTTAACACCATTGAACGTGATAGGTGTTTAAAGAGCCAAGATTAGTTACCACTGAAAGATAAATATTAGCAATATTGTATTTCTTTCTTGTTTTTGTTCCTATTCTTCACACTATACGCATGGAAAGTTGAATGCTGTTTTGCCATATTCCTACTTAACGTCCAGACAGCTATTCAAAGCTTGGATTAATCACCATTAACATCCTTACAAACTTGTCAAAAAAGAGAGAAAAAACATTCATCAAATTTTATTTTACTTAATTGTTTTTGTTCCAGTCTACACTTAAATTAATATTATTTATTTGTGTCACATTCTGTTCTTTACACTAATATGCATGTAAAGTTGTGGGAAAGAGTTTATCGACCGTTGCAGAAAGACCTTTTACGTGTTACGCTCGCCACGGCCCACATAGCCTCGTGGGGCCATTTCAAAAAATTTCGTCTCTATCAACTGAACATAACCCCAAAGCTACCCCTGTTCATAGCTCCATATACATGCATCTCGTATAAAGACGGGGGGTGATAACGTAATTGACAGCTAGAAACAGAGTTGTTGCTGCTAGTCCTATCCTATGTCATCCGCCGCTTAAGTCTTTAGGGGTATCACTGTAATTACACGAAGCTGCGCGCTTCACTAATGACCACATGGCAACATGCGATTGGCTAAAAGGTGATGTTTAACGAATATATATATAAAGAGAGTACATGCATCCTTAAGATTCATCATCTGTGACTACAAAATCGAGAAGAAGGAAGAAAGAAGAAGAGTAAAGAAACGGCGCCGTGTTAAGTCTCTGTTTTGGTTCTTCACGCCGTGTAAACACCAAGGTTGGTAGTTTTCTGAGTCTTTGTGTCTACTCTTTTCTTTGATGTTGTTGTGGTGAAGGATGAAAATAATATTCATAATCAAAGGGTTAGTCTTTGACTGGACTTTAGAGTGTAAGATTGTGAACTAAAGAATCTATGTGTTTTGTGTTTTGAGTGGAAGATAAGGTTTTGAGAAAGAGTGAAAGATGGTGATGGAATCATCAAAATGGTGGTGGGTTGGAAATCACAACACCACTAATTTCTCTCCATGGCTTCATTCAACACTCTCTGGTAACTTTCTTTCTCTCTATCTTTCTTGGTTCTGCGAATAAGAAAAGAACAGAGATTTTTTTGACATATGGTGTTGTTATTGAAGAGTTGGATGAAAAGACAGAGGATATGTTGAGAGTGATTGATGAGGATGCGGATACTTTTGCTGCACGAGCTGAGATGTATTATAAGAGAAGGCCTGAGCTTGTTGCTATGGTCCAAGATTTCTACCGTTCTCATCGCTCCTTGGCGGAGAGGTACGACTTGTTGAGACCCTCTTCTGTTCACAAACATGGCTCAGAGAATCATCATGAGAAGTCTTCATCAACTTGTGATGATGAGTCTTCTTGGTTTGAGGCTTGTGAGACTCGTGACGAGTATGCAGAGTCTGAAGTGGATGACGGTGGTGAAAACAAATGTGTTGAATATAGTGAAGCTCATGAGATGATGAAGGAAGAGATAGAGAGGCTGAGAGAGGAGAATACAGTTTACAGTGAAATGGTTAGAGAGAAAGATGAAGAGAAGAGAGAAGCTATTAGGCAAATGAGTTTAGCAATACAAATGCTCAAAGAAGAAAACTCAGAGCTCAAGAGATGTGTTTCTTCTGTTGTTGCAAAGAATAATAAGGAAAGTGATGTTTCTCAGAGGAAGCAACAGATGTGGAAGCCACTCGAGTTTAAGAAGCTTGAAAGGTTTTTGGGGAGAGTAGTTGGCGATTGGGTCTTCCCAAAGACAGATTCTGCTTCCCCAGAGAGCTCATGACTCTTTAAGAAAACAGAGAGGTTTGTGTGATCAAGAAAGAGGAACTGAGCAACATTCTCAGAGTGTCTTTGTATACTGTGACGTGTAGGGTATACTCAAGTAGTTAGTGTAAGGCTTCACAGGATTATAGTTATATACCTTAGTCTCTATGCATGTTTATTTTATATTCTGTTCATTTCATTTGTTCTTTAATTTTGCTAGGTTTTTTTTGTTGTGTGTATTAAATGGTTACAATAAGTTGTTATTCTTAATAAAGAACAAAGTTGTTGTTTGAGTATTTTGAAGAAAAAGATAACAAGTTTATGTTTATCTAATTTATGTCTACTAAGATGGTTTGTGCATGCCCAGAAACAAATAACTCTCAAACTAAATTAAGTGTAAAACATGTTACCAGTCAAATCCCATGATTTTACATATTCTGCTGTTCACTCTCTCTATTTTACATTCTTTCTTATACCAAAGTCATTATTTTGTTGTTTGGTGAGTGGTATCGATCGTAAAGTTTTACAAACGACACTATGGCAGTTGATGGAATCAAGAATGCTCAACATACTCACATAAGACCGATTTTGGTCTCCAGCAGATTAACATATACATCCAACACTACTTGTTCACGGAAACAGAAAACAACCATTGATCATGTCAAAAAATTAAGACAAAACTACACTCTTTTTTCTTTCCATTATTTGAACTTTGTATAGACACAACATACAACAAAACTAGTGTTATAAGAGACGTGACACAATAAAGACAGGGACACTGAAACTCAAAATTAACACAAGGTAATACAAAACAAAACAAAAAATTATCTATCTGATCTGCTAAAAGAGAGGCTCCGTGGTTTTTGTTGTGTGGTTCTTTGTACTTCGTGCTTCTTTACCCACAAGCTTCTTCACCGCTAGTCCTACCTTGCTTTGATACTCCTATAACATAGAAAAGAAGTCATACTGTTTACCCATTCTTGCGTTCAAGTTTTTGAACTTTGATTCAATAGTGATATGTATCAAACGTTTTGATGTTTACCACTGGCGAAGCACGTGTTATGGATGATACAGCCGCTGCTGCAGCTGCTGCCACGCGTACCCTGAAATGATGTCAAAGTATTTTTTACCTTTTTAGCGAATCTTCTTGGTAAAAGCTATAGAGTAAGTAATCATTACAATACCTTTTATGTACATCAATGTAAACGTCAGTTTCATCCACGATCTCTGCCTGCATATTCAGCAAATCACCAAAGCAACGTGGGATCAATATATAGGAAACATAAGCATAGAGTCAAGACTTTTGATGTCTAAAACGCTCAGGGATTGATCAAATCAGAGAAGGAGAAAAAAAGAGAGGCATAAGATCATACTTGTAGAAGTTCTTCGAAGACATCTTCTAACGTGATGATTCCAATAACTTCTGCATCCTCGTTATCTTCAAACAAACGCGGCAAGTCCTCCCTTGTCACAACGCCGTTCTGTTGGAAATTTCTTCCCCTAGTTTCCACATGTGCTGGTACTTTATCAATATCCACAACAACAACATCATGCCTTTCATCCACATGCTTAAGCAGAGGAGCTGTTAAATGAGGACTCGAGTATGAGTTAATATATTCCTTTGGTGGTTCCCCATTACTCATCAACTGCATGTTTTTCTTTTTATCTTTGTCTTTGACTTTGACAACCGCAGCCATGTGACTGTTTCCCTTTTGAAACTCGTTGAGGATATCATACAATGGCATGTCTGATGGAACCCTGGAATGCCAACGTATGGACGAAACTTAATACTTAAATTTTACATGCAGAACACACTTATTATGGCTAGGTATAGCTCGAGGAAGCAAGATGTACCTTGGCATCTTCCTGATGGAAACAGAACTTACTGATGTCTCTGTTTCCGCTCGTACAGTTAAAAGACTCTTAACCTAGGAAATAGCAGCATATACAGAAATAAGTAACTAATAGAGCTCAGTGAAATGAAGCAATGCAAAAGATTGACAAGGAGTACCTACCAATAAAAGCCCAATGATATTTTTAGGATTCCCTAAGTAGACCGGGATCCGGCTATGTCCTCGGGAGAGTATTTTTCCAATTGTTTCCCTGCAGTTTGTAAGGTGTACGTTCATGATTTCAACTGAGTTTCTCAAAACCATTTTTATTTTCAAAGGTTTGACAGATAGAGAAAGAAAATCATCTAGAGAGACCAACTCTACGGTCAACTCACCAGTTTAACTTTGTAGTTACATCCAAGGAAAACGTTGATTCAATTGGTGTCATAGCTTCCTCAGCTGTCTGAACTTCCAGGAAATGTAAGCGTGTTAATTAGATCAGCTTTAAAAAATCTTGAAGCAGTAAGAAAAATTTAAAGTAGTTTCCAAGTAAATTATCATCCATATTCCATACCCAACCTCATGCAACCTTACCTTCTCACTCAAATCAAGGGCTCCGCTTATAATCATTGTTTCCTCGTGTGTCAGTTCGCCACCTTTACCAGCCTATGTTGCAAAGAAGCAGCATATCAATGGAGGCTGGGAAAGAAAAGTACTTTCTGATGTAACTTTATCAACTACTTGACAAATCAGACAGGGGCTACAACACACATCTTCAATTTCATATCCTAGATTTGTCTGATTATTAGATCATAAAAGAGAAACTACCTCCTGGCTGTGCATTGAGACAAGAGCTTTCAGCTGAGCTCTCCTAAACAGTGTGTCATTATGCCCAATAACGGCATCAAGAACCTAAGGCATATTAAAAACGTTGATATAAGTAAACAACCACAGCTACGTCATACTCTGGAATCTATAAATGCACCTACTTGTCTAGCTGATATAATAAATACAATTAATTTCAACAAGCACCACTTCTTAATGACATTCCTAAATTAAATGCAAGGTTCAACAATTTTCCCACTTCTTATTGAGTATTGTAGCAACTAGCAAAACAAAACAGAGTGCACTGACAAAGATGGGCCTACAAGAAGATCACCTTTCCGATAGGGTAAGCAATGGGATAGCAGAGTATCATCAAAATGCGAACCAGCCACAAAAAATTAGCCCCAACAGCAAGCCCATACCTCGAGCATATAGCTTGTGGAATTATCTGCTTGTTAACATAGTTTTGTATCAGCTTCTGAATAAAAAAAGACAAACTAGCACCAAGAAGAACAAAAACAAAAAAAGTTTACCTCCCCAAAAGCAAGAACAAAAGTTACTGAGAGCAAAACAGCCACAAAGGGGTGAAATATCTTATCCAGGCATATAGGAAGAGCCTGCAAAAAAAAAGGAGTAAAAACAAAATCTTTCAAGCAGAAATCTGCAATTATGTAATATCTTAATGATGAGGTTAGTTTTTTACCTCCATGGCAGCTGCATTGCATAGAAGCAGAGTCACAAGAAGTTGATGCTGCTTCTTAACCACTGGTAAGATAGCAGCTGCAATATCCACACACACAAAACAAAAAAACCAAACTCAAGAGTAAGAATAGAGACACCACTACAAAGGTCGTTATTACAGCCAAAATTACAGAATACTAATTGAAAAAAAAAAGACAAATTTTTAATATTAATTCTATTACCGTTACAAATTGAGCAAAGTCCTGTATGTAAATTTCAATCAAAGCATCGATTTTTTTTTATAACCGTAGAGTTGGTAAACAAGAAAAAAAAGACAAAACAGTACCGGCTTGTTTTTTCTCGGAGGAGGAACCACTCTGCTGGAGAATCTCGAGCTCGACAAGGCCAAGAGACATTAATCCGAGCGTTAAGCCAGACATTATCCCTGCGAAGAGAACGAGGAGACACGCTACACCGACCACGACGAACCACCAAGGAGAACCGAATCGGATGTCTTCGGCTTCAAAGACGAAGCTGTTTAAGGAATAAGCTGCTTTCACGAGCACAACCATGCTCAAAACGCCCATTTTGTCGTCTTTCTAAGCTTCGATTTGGTCGCTTACAAAGAAACAAACAGCGACGGAGCTAGAGAGAGGGGACTCTTATGTGTGTGTGTGTTGCGATGTGAAATGGTTTTTCGGTTCAGAAGGAAGACAGTGATACGGGGATACATGGACCTAACGACACGTCAGCATTCAACATGCGTTTTTCTCCTCCTCTTTCTTTTTTATTCAGCTGTTACTCATGCGTTTTTTTATAATTTTATTTATGTTCTTTAATTGATTTGTTGACTACTTGTATAGTTTTATTTGTGAGGAACCAAGGACAACGTGATAGCTATTAGTTACAGAGCTTTCATGCTTATGCATTATTAGACCGTAGACCCTTCACCGGTTTTAACGTCACGAGAAAGGATACACACTAAACACTTGTTTCTTGCCCCCATCACACAACTCTTAAGTCCTTCCAAAATATCATTGTATTGTTCTGCATTTAAAATACATATCAAGTTATTAAGCTTTTATAGTTTACCTTGTAATAACAATTAAACAAATGTTGCTGGCAGCGAAAGTTGAGAGTATAAACCCAAAAAAATGTTAAATAAGAAACTAACATGGGTATTATTTTTTAATAGCTTTACACAAAGAGTATTATATATCCAGTCATAATAAACATGTATTGAACCCCTTGAGCCTTAACCGGTTTTAACGCTCCAAGAAGGATACACATTACACATGCTGCCTCTTGCCCCCATCACACAACTCTTGAGTTCTATTAAAATATCATTGTTTTGTATTATTCCATCCATTTCAATTTAGTTGTTATTATAGACTAAATTTTTTGTTTTAAAATAAATGTTGTTTTATAATTTTAATGTAAAATTTATTAATTTTATTCACTATCATATTTTCTTATTGGTTGAAATGTGATTAAATGTATAGGTAATTGTATTGGTTGAAATGTGATTAAATGTATAGGTAATTGTATTTTTTTAGAAAATATGTAAAATTAAATACTTTTTTAATATATGCAAAAACCAAAGACGACAAATAAAATGAAATGGAAAGAGTAATAAAAAGAAACTAAAATTCAAGTTATTATTTTTTTAATACTAACTTATAAATAACAATTCAAGACAACAAGGAAATGAAAGTAGAAACCCAAAAAAATTGCTAAATATGAAACTGAAACGGCTAGTTTGTAAAATCCTAAACTAATTGTCATTATGGCATAATTTGGGCCTTTGAGTTATCTCTGAGCCCAATTATTTGGGCCACTAAGAAAAATATACGCGGAAAAAAAAGAGTTTCAACTTTCAACAGTGAAACCCGAACGAGCGAGAGACGCAACAGAATCTGAAGATCGAAGAAGAACAGTAAATTCGAAAAATCGAAGCGCAAGCCTCACTTTCTATCTATCGATTTCTGCAATCTCACTCTCAGATTCATTTGTCACCATTCACCGGAGCTGACGCGTCGGAAGCATATCTTCAGAAATCGTATTTGGGAGAGAGAATACAAATTCTTATCAAAAAAAAAAGAGAGAGAATACAAATCTGGCGAAAGTGGAGGGGTTAAGGGCGAGGCCGTGGCTGAAGCCAGGATCTTATGCAAATGGAGATCAATACGACTACGACGGAGATGAGGATGATCATTCGAAGCCTTGGTGGAGGCGTCGAATCAGATCGTTGTATATGGCGGCGAGGTCTCTTTCTCCGTCCACTTTCCGAATAGCAATCTCGCTCCTCCTCCTTGTGGCTATCGGCACCGCTTTCATTTTTCTCCCCGTTGAACAGGCAAATTTCTCTTGTCTCACACTATCCATAGCTATTCGCGTTTTGTGTGTATTTTTTTTGTAGCTTTAGTGATAGTGAAGCAACGGTGATGTGTTTATTTAGTTCTGGCTTGTAGCTGTTCACATTTTGCGTGTATTTGTAGGTTTAGTGATAGTATTGCTGATGGAATTAGATAGATCGCGGTATCGCTGCTTGGAATTAGTGTTGCTCGGTCGCTAGATTGTTTACACTTTTACTCTTCAAAGAATCTGTAGTTTGAAAGTAGCAAGAAAATGACTGACCTTATGAATCTAATCGGGAACTTTGATAGAGTGATAGTAGAGAGTATCAGAAGAATGGTAATATGTTTGATTTTTAAGATCATTGTTATGTTCACTTTCTGCAGAAATTGAAGGACTTCTTGTTATGGATTAAGGAAGATCTTGGACCTTTTGGTCCAATTGCACTGTAAGTTATTTTCATGCTTTCTATCTTTTTTTGGTTCTTTCTTTCTTAAGATTGTTCCCTGTCTTCCTTAAATAATCTTGTGTGATGCACTTCTTTAACTCAAAATTGCAGGGCTTTGGCTTATGTTCCCCTCACAATTGTGGCGGTTCCTGCTTCTGTACTTACGGTAGGTGTCAGTTCATAACCATGTAGTGAAATCTAGGGTGTGCTTCTTTGATGTTTGTTTGCACCTGATTTTTTTTGTTACAAGAGGGGATACTCGGGCTTTTTCTTTTATCTCTGTTCTGATAGTTGTGATTTGGTTTCTGCAGCTAGGGGGTGGTTATCTTTTTGGCTTGCCAGTTGGGTTTATAGCCGACTCTCTTGGAGCTACGTTAGGTGCAACAGCAGCATTTCTACTTGGTAGAACGGTATGTCTCTTTGATAACACAGTATATGCTGCTCTAATTTATATTTCGATGGCAATAGTGAACCAGATAAGTAAATGATTCATGATTTTTGCGTCTTCACAACTAGGCAGTCAAACTATGTGTGGCATCTTTCCTATCTTAGCCATCTTATTGTCGGTAATGGCTTTTTTCTGGTATCATGCAGATTGGTAAATCTTATGTCACCTCAAAAATAAAGCATTACCCAAAGTTTCAAGCAGTTTCCGTTGCAATTCAAAGATCTGGCTTCAAGGCATGAAAGTAGCACTCTCTCAGTTAATTTACAATACGTTTTTTTCATATTATACCTGGGACCAACAGTATGGCAAACTATCTCAAATTACAGGATGCATTTAATTGATTGACTGCTAACTGCATGTTAATATTTTCTTGCTGTACAGATAGTTTTGCTGCTACGCGTTGTCCCCATTCTTCCCTTCAATATGTTGAATTACCTCCTATCTGTCACCCCGGTTCGCTTAGGCGAATACATGCTGGCGACTTGGTTGGGAATGATGGTAATGATCTTTGTGGAAGTAGTTTGGAAGTAGTTTGATCTTAGCTGTGGAAGTAGTTTGATAGTTGTTCTTACACCCAAGAATGCTCTATCCTTGGAGATTAGTAGTCGTAGCTTAACCCAAATGGACATGCGTTGTATGCACCCAGTTCATGAAAATCATGCATGTGAAAGTGTTGAGTGCTTAGTGCTTAGTGCTTACATCATCCATGATTATGACTAATCTTCTGAAATGTTTTAATGTAACAGCCCATTACGTTTGCGCTAGTTTATGTTGGAACTACTCTGAAAGATCTGTCTGATATTACACATGGATGGCATGAAGTGTCAGTTTTTCGTTGGGTAAGATTTTGTTCATTTACTTCCACTTAGCTGCTAATTTTCCATAGTGTGATATGCATTTCTAGGTTGCATAATTTCCATCATGCGACTTACATCCTCTTGAATATCCTGAGGATAATGATTTCTTTCTAACCAAGTCTTAACTGTACTAAAACAATTATGCAAAACTGATATTTCCTTCTTCCACTTGTGTCTTTGTGAATGCAGGTACTAATGATAGTTGGCATTGCTCTAGCTGGTGAGTCTCTTATGTATTCAGTTCCAAAAAAGTGGTGTTTGTTTTGACAAGTCAATTGTGACTTGATCTTGTAATAAAAGCTTTTACAGACTGTCTGATGTGATCAATGTATTGTTTATAATGGTGCAGTAATTCTTATAATATGCGTAACAAGAGTGGCGAAATCATCACTGGACAAAGCATTGGCTGAGAATGCAACTGATATATCAGATGGGAAGAAGAATGATGACACATCCATGCTCCCCATAGCAGAACCACCACCACTACCGGAGCATGTACACGAGCCTCTCGACATCAGAATCGACCCATAAGAAAGAACAAACAAAAGAAACTAAACCTCTTGAGTTTGTAAATTTTTTAAAAAGAATTTTTACTGAGGGAGAATATTATTAGATACGTTTTGTATAGCCCGTAATAATACATAAATTCACCGTTTATGTCGTTCCTTTTTTTCACTTGGCTATTTTCATCTACTTGAGCTTTAACCGATTCATGTTAAAAAAAAAAGACCAGTGAATAGTTAACCCGAAATTATCTTGAATATTTGATCGACTCCCATGTGCCAACTGCCAACTTTTTTTTTCTTTTTAACATCGCTCTGTGCCAACTTCAATTTCAGTTCCACTCCATGATTAATATATTGGGATATTTGATCGTTTCTCAATAGATAAAAATATTTTTCAGTTGCTATACGTTGTTGTCTTGAAAATGTCAAATGCTGATATTTATGTATTGTTGAAGACAAATTAAAATTTAATGAGTATTTGATTGACTATGTGGTTGCACGCAGGCTGATTGCACGTAAGCTAATAACGTGTGTTTGTACTGTTCAACATATCCATAAACTGATGTGATCCGTAATGGATGTGTGTGCCTCATTTGATTTCAATAAAAAAGGTCAAAAAGTCAAGAAAGGCACCCACTCACCTGGCCTATTCTGACATACACGGTGTTTCCTGCACTACCTTCCACGGTGTTTCCTGTCTCTTTCGAAGATATTTATTTCCTCTATCATCGGTCAAGAAGTAATATTTTCTATCTTTTGATCAGATCAAGTAGTACTCTATTTAATCAGCAAGTAACACAACATTAATATACTATCCAAAAACTAAAGATAAAAATCCTGTTAAATTGAGGAATAAAATTCGACGGTTGGATTGAACTCAAATGAAACTATTTATTTTAATTAGTTTAATGTTTTATAAAAACAGGTTTATAGACAAAATATTACTAGTATCTATTTGGAACTTCAAATAAACATTAAATCAAAATTAATTGGATAGTGTATGCTATCTACTTGTTATTTTGTCTAAATCCAAAAGAAATGAAGAAACTGGATTTGATAGGTGTCATTTTACATAAAAAGAGAAGCAAAGTCAGTAAACTATATACATAATACATAAAAAGTTATATCTGGAAAGTCATTATCATGAAAGTCAACAACGTGACACTATCATCCAATTATTCAAATTAGCCGCCACATTTAGAAAACGACCAAAATGTTCCTACAAATACACACAGTGAGACCAGTACTCATCATCAGTTCTTCACATTCATCTCTAACAATGGCTTCTTCTCCGATCATTTTCTCCCTCCTTTTCCTTTCCATCTTCTCAACCTCCTTTGCTCAACCATCATTCCGGCCAAAAGCTCTCCTCCTCCCTGTCACAAAAGACAAAACCACCCTCCAATACACCACCGTTATCAACCAACGCACTCCTCTCGTCGCCGCCTCCGTCGTATTCGACCTCGGTGGCCGAAACCTCTGGGTAGACTGCGACAAAGATTACGTCTCCACCACCTACCGCTCCCCACGCTGCAACTCCGCCGTGTGCTCACGAACCGGCTCCACCGCCTGCGGCACATGCTTCTCCCCTCCAAGACCTGGCTGTAGCAACAACACTTGCAGCTTAATCCCAGACAACACCGTCACCGGAACAGCTACCTCTGGAGAAGTTGCTATAGACGTTGTGTCGATTCAGTCAACTAACGGAATCAACCCGGGTCGGGTCGTTAAAATCCCTAATTTGATATTCGGTTGCGGGGCAACGTTTCTGCTAAAAGGACTCGCTACCGGAACCGTCGGTATGGCTGGTATGGGACGCCACAACATCGGTTTACCTTCGCAGTTCGCCGCTGCGTTTAGTTTTAAACGGAAGTTCGCAGTCTGTTTAACTTCGGGAAGAGGAGTCGCCTTCTTCGGTAACGGACCTTATGTTTTCCTCCCCGGGATCCAGATCTCAAGGTTCCAAACGACGCCGCTTTTGATCAATCCCGTGAGCACTGCTTCTGCGTATTCGGAAGGCGAGAAATCCACCGAGTATTTCATCGGTGTAACTGACATCAAAATTGGCGATGAATCTGTTTCGTTCAACAAAACGCTTCTGAAGATTGATGCGACCTCCGGAGTAGGAGGAACTAAGATCAGTACTGTGGATCCGTACACCGTGATGGAGACATCGATCTTCAACGCGTTCACATCGGCGTTTGTTAAAGCATCCGCGGCGAGGAATATTACTCGAGTACCGTCTGTGAAACCGTTTGGCGCGTGTTTCAGCACGGAGAATGTATTCGGAACACGCGTTGGGTACGCCGTGCCGGATATACAGCTTGTGCTTCAGAGCAGCGACGTCGTTTGGAGGATCTTTGGAGGTAACTCGATGGTGAGGATAAGCCGTGAAGTCATCTGTTTGGGTTTCGTTGACGGAGGAGTCAACGCCAGAACCTCTGTGGTGCTCGGAGGGTTTCAGCTTGAAGATAACTTGATCGAGTTTGATTTGGCGAGTAACAGATTGGGCTTTAGTTCCACGTTGTTGGGCCTTCGAACTAATTGTGCCAACTTCAATTTCACTTCCACTGCTTGATATGTTTTGTTAAGGGGGCGATGAATGATTTCGTTGCAATTTTAATAACTTGATTTGAATAATTGAATATTGTTGTTGTTTTTCTGTGATTTTGTATTAATTCCTTTTTTACAAATCAATAAAAAAAAACAACTAGAGAATAAAAATGGATTATATAAACTAAATGTGCATCCGTTGTAGTATTGTTTTTACCCAATTCATGGATAGCATGCTTGTGAAAATGTTGACTGCTTATATCATCCATAATCATGACTAGTCAAGGTGAGACATGGTATCTCAGCTTAGATGTTGAAAAAATAGTAACCAACCTAAAAGAAAATTTTCTACGAAAAGACGAAAAAAAAAAGCTAAAATAAACTCTTTTTCTTTGGAGTAGTTCCATAATTTAGTGTCTACAAATGCAACAGAACAAATAGGAAGGGAAGTGTGATGAAGACAACGAGGATCAAAGGGAAGAAGAGTGATAATCCAGTGGAGAAACCGATCATGAGTCTACGCATTTCCTTAGGATATCAAAGGAAGGAGCTTGCTAGTATGAACCGGAACTGAAATGATAATGGGTATCCGAAAATACATATTTCAAAATGTTAGGAATCAACGGAGACCCTCTGGGTAGTCGGAGGGATAAAGCTGGAAGATAATTTGATCGGGCTAGTAAGAGGTTTGGATTTAGTTCCACGTTGGGGCTACCGCAGCTCCTTCATGTGCCAAATAGTTAAAAAAGATTCGATCACCAAGTAATACAACATGCTTATTGTTAATTAACCTATATTCAATAATTTTATCACGTATAGTACCCACCTGACTTGGACCATCCTCGCTGTCTCGTCTCTCTTTCCTATACATCCCTTTTATCTATCAAGTAGGGATTATTTAAGAGTGATTTAGTGTATTACCCTTATTTGAAGCTCAAATTAGCAAACTACCATTGATTAGACATAAAGGACACTGACACAACCATTTGGCAAGAAAATGCTGAGAATACCCTTTCTCTTTCCTCTCATTAACACGAAGCGTAAAAACATTTGTTAACATATAACACTTCTGTTAACGTCTACAATATTTGTTAACAGCCAACACATTTATTACCGCGAAGCGTAAAAATAAGTGTTAACAGTTAACACTTTTGTTAACGTGTACAATATTTGTTAACAGCGAACATCTTTATTAACGAGAAGCGTAAAAATAAGTGTTAACAGTTAACATTTCTGTTAACGTCTACAATATTTGTTAACCGCTAACACGACGTCGAATCTAAAACCCAGAAAATTGATATCATCGAAAAAATGTATCACTGAATTTTGTATTTCCAAATCACATTGAGTAAATTTAAAAGTTAGAATTATTATTTAAGAATCAAAGTAAACTCAGAAATATTTAACATATTTATTTTGTATGTAATTCATTTTGAAAATGAAAAGAGGAGAGAAGAGTATTGATAACGAAAATGAGAGAAAAAAAAAGTTAAACACCTACATGTAAATGCAGGAAGAAAGAAGAGAGAGAGAAAGGACAATTTGGTCAGACAAAATAAATATGTCTCATCATGTGCAAGTGACTAATATACACCCCCATTTGGGGTATATCGGCCAATTAACTCTTTTTTTTAATGTGGCGGCTAATTCGAATATAATTTTATAATGGTGTGCCTTTTTAACTTTTTAGATGTCACATGTGATGTATATAATCATGAGTTAATTGGCCGATACACCCCAAATGGGGGTGTATATTAGTCACTTGTCCATGATGAGACATAATTATTTTGTCTGACCAAATTGCCCTTCTTTCTCTCTCTCCTTCTTTCATGCATTTACATGTGGGTGTGTCACTTTTTTTTTTTCATTTCTCTCCTCTTATCATTTTCAAAATGAATTACAAGCAAAATAAATCTGTTAAATATTTTTGAGTTCACTTTGATTCTTAAATAATAGTTAATACATAACACCTCTATTAAAAATATATAATTTTTAAATGTGTTGGTTGTTAACAAATATTGTAGACGTTAGAGAAGTACCGATATTTGGTGTTGATATTAGAGAAGTATATACAATTAAATTTTAAATTTCATTATTTTTTTCCATAAGTGGCTTTGAATCCTCCATTTTTTGATGATATCAATTTTCTGGGTTTTAGATTCGACGTCGTGTTAGCGGTTAACAAATATTGTAGACGTTAACAGAAGTGTTAGCTGTTAACAATTATTTTTACGCTTCGCGTTATTAAATATGTTCGCTGTTAACAAATATTGTAGACGTTAACAAAAGTGTTAAATGTTAACAATTCTTTTTACGCTTCGCGGTAATAAATGTGTTGGCTGTTAACAAATATTGTAGACGTTAACAGAAGTGTTATATGTTAACAAATGTTTTTACGCTTCGTGTTAATGAGAGGAAAGAGAAAGGGTATTCTCGGCATTTCCTTGCCAAATGGTTGTGTCAGTGTCCTTTATGTCCAATCAATGGTATTTTGCTAATTTAAGGTTCAAATAGGGGTAGTTCACTAAATCACTCTAAAAAAAGACCAGAATGTTTTTTTTTTTTTTTTAAAAGACCAAAATGTTGCTATAAATACACACACTGAGACCACTACTCCATCATCAGTTCATCACATCCAGCTCAAATGCCTTCTTCTCCCATCATTTTCTCCCTCCTTTTCCTCTCCATCTTCTCACTCTCATCTGCTCAGCCGTCATTCCGACCAAAAGCTCTCCTTCTCCCTGTCACAAAGGACAAAACAACCCTCCAATACACAACCGTTATCAACCAACGCACTCCCCTCGTCGCCGCCTCAGTCGTCTTCGACCTCGGTGGCCGTAACCTCTGGGTAGACTGCGACAAAGATTACGTCTCCACCACCTACCGCTCCCCACGCTGCAACTCCGCCGTGTGCTCACGCGCCGAATCCACAGGCTGCGGCGAATGCTACTCTCCTCCGAGACCTGGCTGTAGCAACAACACTTGCAGCTCGATCCCAGACAACACCGTCACCGGAACCGCCACCTCCGGCGAGTTTGCTACAGACGTTGTGTCGATTCAGTCAACCGACGGCGTCAACCCGGGTCGGGTCGTTAAAATCCCCAACGTGATATTCGGATGCGGGGCAACGTTTCTGCTTAAAGGACTCGCTACCGGAACCGTTGGTATGGCTGGTATGGGACGCCACAACATCGGTTTACCTTCGCAGTTCGCTGCAGCGTTTAGTTTCAAACGGAAGTTCGCAGTGTGTTTAACTTCGGGAAGAGGCGTCGCCTTCTTCGGTGACGTGCCTTACATTTTCCTCCCTGGAATATTGATCTGGAGGCTTAAAACGACGCCGCTTCTCATTAACCCGGTGAGCACGGCTTCTGCGTATTCAGAAGGCGAGAAATCCACTGAGTATTTTATAGGCGTCACTGACATTAAAGTACTCGAGAAATCAGTTTCGTTCAACAAGACGCTTCTCAAGATCGACGCGATTACTGGATACGGAGGAACCAAGATCAGCACGGTGGATCCGTACACCGTGATGGAGACAACGATCTTCAACGCAGTCACATCGGCTTTTGTTAAAGCAGCTGCCTTGAGGAACATCACTCGAGTGCGGTCGGTGAAGCCGTTCGGCGCATGTTTTAGCACGGAGAACGTGTCTGTAACGCGTGTGGGATACAACGTGCCGGATATCCAGCTCGTGCTTCAGAGCAACGACGTCGTTTGGAGGATCTTGGGAGCTAACTCTATGGTGAGTGTTAGCCGTGATGTCATTTGTTTGGGTTTCGTTGACGGAGGAGTCAACGCGAGAACCTCTGTGGTGATTGGAGGGTTACAACTGGAAGATAACTTGGTCGAGTTTGATTTGGCGAGTAACAGATTGGGCTTTAGTTCCTCGTTGTTGGGCCTTCAAACTAACTGTGCCAATTTCAACTTCACTCCAACTGCATCTGCGGCAAGATATGTTATGTAAGGGGGCGATGAATGATTTTAATATCTTGATTCGAATAAAGGAATATTGTTTTTGTTTCTCAGTGATTTCAATAAAATTTTGAATAATGGAATATTGTTGTTGTTTCTCTGTGCTTTCAATAAAATTTTCGACAAGAGAGTTAAAATTGATTATATAAGCTAAAGGTGAATACTATTGTTTAAATATGTAGTGAAAAATACCGCCAAAATCAAAGTATGGACCTATGCTTATTGCTTAGACAAACAAAATCAAACCGGTTTAGTGGTTTACTAAGAAACCATGTCTTGAACATCAGTCTCAGCCATCTTCTCCAATTCTTCTTGTGTTAACAGAGTTTTCCTGCAATACTTGTGTCAACTTCAGTTTCAGTCCTACTGCATGGATAGTATATTTGATAATTTCCTCAAAAATAAATAGTTCAGTGACTATATGAGATTTTGTCTTTGATAAGATCAATTAATATTCTCTTTATTCATTGTCGAAGACAAATAAAAATTAATATATTTAATTGAGTATGTGAATGGCATGTAATCTAGTAAACTACTACCGTGATCCGTAATAGCTGTGTGTGCCAGTTTTTTTAATGTTCTTATAGTATTCCTCACATCAGGCTCAAGCATTTATATATGGCTGAATCTCTCTCTTTTGTATACTATTTATCCAGACAGTGCTTCAAGTACCGATCAAAGAATCTATGGTGTTTTGCTAGAAGGAAAGGTAAAAAAATCAAGAATGGCACCTACTCACATAGTCACATGGCTTGCATTACCTCTGGCTCTGAGGCTCTGACCATTCACACTGTTTCCTCTCTCTTTCGGATATATTATTTATTTCCTGTATTATTGATCACCTAGGAATTATTTAGTCAGTAAGTAACACAACATCATTTATTGTTAGTTAACCAACACTTAGGGCATCTCCCAAAGCTATAACTTCAAATATGAAGTTTTTGGTTCTCCAAAAACGAATTCTAAAACTTCAAATTTGAAGTTTCATATTTTTGTTTGCATTTTGGTCCTTACAATTATACATTATATTTATAAGTCTTATATATTTTATGTTTTTATCATTTTAACCTTTGAAAATTCATATCTCGTTAATATTTCAAGTTTTTTTATAAATTTAAATTTTACACTTATTGTTTTCACAAAAAACAAGATAAGATTAAAAACAGTTAAAATTAGAACTAGACAACAACAATATTACAAAACATAAGTTAATATTTTATTTATAGTTTAACATTTAATTATATATTTCCATTAATAATTCATATTTTAGTGTAATATCTTCTCTATTAAAAGAGAAGTACCATTTATATCTACTACAAAAAGTCATGTTGGACCATCGCATTAATATGACATATTTAACTATTTATATTAATCAATCAAATATATATAATTGGAGGAATATTTTAATAATTAATAAGATATTAGTAACAATTTTTTTGAGAAAATATCTAACAAGATCATACTAAGAAATTTAAATATTTTTATAAAATATGAATTATTTAATTTCGTGATTAATATATATAAATATCTATATTAATGTTAATTAAAAATAAAAAATTGTTATATTTTATAATTTAGTTATATTCTATATTATATTAAAATAAAATGCTATGTGAAATGAATATAAAATATATTAAATTGGTAAAGAAAAATATTTTATTTTAAATATTTTATTTTATTCAATAAATAAATAAATATCACTCACTTTTAAAACATATTAAAGTTTTTAAATCATATAATATTTTTATACAAAAAATGTTAACATATATTTTTGTAACTCACAACACATACATTATATAAAAAATTATATATGAATATTTTTATTTTAGAACTTACAACAATATATTATTTAAAAATAATTAAAATTATAAGATTATACAATTATACAATATATAACAATAGAATGTAAATCATATATATTTGAAAGGTTTTGTTATATTTTTATAAAATGAAAAAATACCTGCACGGATGTGCGGGTTCAAAATCTAGTTTTACCATTTAATATTGCTGTAATATTTTTATATATGTGCTAGTTATTTATAAAAGCTCTATGAATTTAAACTAGTTATGACAAATATAAGGACCATAGTATAAAATACAAATAGTTTTAAAGTTAAATTTGAAGTTTTGTTTTTGGAGTATAACACCTACAAACTTCAAATATAGAGTTTTGTAAACTCTAAAATAGAGTGTCTTTTTGGAGATGCTCTTAATAATTAAGGCCATGTTCATTTTTATATTTGATGCATGTATCATTTGAATACAATTTTATGATTTTAGCAGAAAATAAGATATTTTCGGTTTTGTTGAAAAAACTAATATCAAATGAGAATTATTTTTATGTTTATGATTAATAGTTTGGATGGACAAAATAATACTTGTATTTATTTGGAACTTGAAATAAATATTTATATCTGAAATTAATTGGACAGTGTGTGTTTATCTACTTTGTCTAAACCCAACCAAAAAAAAGTAAAGAAGCGAAGAAAGTGGATTTGAATTGTGTCATTTTCACATAAAAGAGAAGCAAAATCATGAAACTATACACATGTTATATCTGGAATGTCATTAATCACTATCACGGAAGTCATTAACGTGACACCATTATCTCTTTTTTTTGGGCAACGTGACACCATTATCGAATTTTTCAAATTAGCCGCCACAATTAAAAATGACCAAAATGTTGTTATAAATACACACACTGATACCACTACTCTTTCTTCATTTCTTACCATTCATCTCTAATGGCTTCTTCTCTGATCATTTTCTCCGTCCTTTTCCTTTCCATCTTCTCAACCTCCTTTGCTCAACCATCATTCCGACCAAACGCTCTCCTCCTCCCTGTCACAAAGGACAAAACAACCCTCCAGTACACCACCGTTATCAACCAACGCACTCCTCTCGTCGCCGCCTCAGTCGTCTTCGACCTCGGTGGCCGTAACCTCTGGGTCGACTGCGACAAAGATTATATCTCCACCACTTACCGCTCCCCTCGCTGCAACTCCGCCGTCTGCGCACGCGCCGGCTCCACAGGCTGCGGCGAATGCTACTCTCCTCCGAGACCCGGCTGCAACAACAACACTTGCAGCTCAATCCCAGACAACACCGTCACCGGAACAGCTACCTCCGGCGAATTCGCAATAGACGTTGTGTCGATTCAGTCAACTAACGGATTCAACCCGGGCCGGTTCGTTAAAATCCCCAATTTGATATTCGGATGCGGGGCAACGTTTCTGCTTAAAGGACTCGCTCCCGGAACCGTCGGTATGGCTGGGATGGGACGCCACAACATCGGTTTACCTTCGCAGTTCGCCGCAGCGTTTAGCTTTAACCGTAAATTCGCAGTCTGTCTCACTTCCGGAAGAGGTGTGGCCTTCTTCGGTAACGGACCTTACGTTTTCCTCCCTGGAATTCAGATCTCGGATCTCGAAACGACGCCGCTTCTCATTAATCCTGTGAGCACAGCCTCTGCGTATTCGGAAGGCGAGAAATCCACCGAGTATTTCATCGGTGTAACTGACATCAAAATCGCAGATAAATCCGTTTCGTTCAACAAAACGCTTCTGAAGATCGACGCGGTTACTGGATACGGAGGAACGAAGATCAGCACGGTGGATCCGTACACCGTGATGGAGACAAGGATCTTCAACGCGTTCAGAATGGCGTTCGTGAAAGCAGCCGCCGCGATGAACATTACTCGAGTACCGTCGGTGAAACCGTTTGGCGCGTGTTTCAGCACGGAGAATGTCTTTGGCACGCGCGTTGGATACAACGTGCCTGATATCCAGCTCGTGCTTCAGAGCAACGATGTCGTTTGGAGGATCTTCGGAGCTAACTCGATGGTGACCGTTAGACCTGACGTCATATGTTTGGGTTTTGTTGACGGAGGAGTCAACGCGAGAACCTCTGTGGTGATCGGAGGGTTACAGCTGGAAGATAACTTGATCGAATTTGATTTGGCCAGTAACAGATTAGGGTTTAGTTCCACGTTAAAGAGCTATCGCACTAATTGTGCCAACTTCAACTTCACTCCCACTGCATCTGCACGATATGTTATGTAAGGGGTCGATGAATGATTTTAATAACTTGATCGAATAATGGAATGAGTCACTATGACATTGTTGTATTTCTTCTGTGGTTTCAATAAAAAGTTCGTGAAGATAATGATAAACAAAGGTGACTCCTATTGTTTAAATTTATAGTGAAAAAATACCTCCAAAATCAAAGTATGGCACTATGCTTAAGCTTAGAAAACAAAATCAAACCGGTTTAGTGGTTTATTAAGAAGAAACCATGTCTTGAACACCAGTCTCAGCCATCTTCTCCAATTCTTCTTGTGTTAAGAGACTTTTCCTGCCCAAGTACCCGCCTTATCGTACGGTTGAGCCATTTTCCTTACAAACTGGAGAGAACTCAATTTTTTTTAACTATCTGGATTCTTAAACTTACGGTTTCTTGAGGAATAAGTAATGATTTTGGGTTTACCTCTCGGGAAATGAGGACAGCCATGTCAGTGCTTAGATTCAAGTGCGAATCACGGAGATGTGAAAGTATCCAACCGGGTAACTTGGACCGCATATCAATGCCACTATATCTGCAAGTTTAAAAATCACCGGCAGTTTTTAACAGAACCAACATGAACATGTCTGACCCGGTTCTGTCCTAAGAATTTCTACTCGTAACTAAGTAGCAAACCATTTGGCATGATGATCAGACGAATAGGGAGAGTTGAAGGAAATATATATATAAACACCTCTTGTCTGCAAATATCATCATCCCATAATCATCCTTGGGCCGGATTACTCGTCCTACACATTGAGCTGCTTGCCTCTGTTTTGTAGCCACAAAAGAAGGAAGAAGTTAAATAGCAATAACAAAATTGTTAAAAATCATCACCAAAATATAATAAGATCATCGAACTAGAATCACACCGAGGCATCAAAAAATAGGAAGTCGCCTTCTTTTATTTGAAATGCATCACGCAAATACTCCAACCTTGCTAGTAAAATCCTGCAAAAAGTTTTTTCCGTTTCCATCTTAGCATATTCTCCCCACTGATCAAATTTATAGAAAGCATGGAAGCAGAAAACTTGTTAAAAAACTTACTTGCTTAACGTATATTGAAACGGAACTCCATACATTATAACCAGTCTTCCATAATGACGATAAAAATCGATACCTTCAGCAACTTTTCCTCTGCAGTTAAAATACTTGTGATTACTCTCATTGAAATTGCCTAACTAGATGGATCCACCATTGTACACATAACTCCGCCTCTTCCGCTATCGCAAGCCTTTCGATAATTCTCTAGTGCCAATGTTGTGTCTACAACATCTTCCGTTTCAAAGAAGACAAGTTTCTGTTGCATTATTTCCTACATAACATTAAGAGCAATGAAGTATATACATTATTGCATGTAGCAACTACTAATATGTTAAAAGAGTATCATCCACTTCATGCTAAACTGTGTAAATAATACTGTTACCTTCAAAATTCCAGTTTCATTCCATGTATCGATAATGTCTTCCATGTATGAGTAACTGACAAAGAAACAGACAACTCCATCAGGAACGACAGATACCATCTCCACCAGAAGCTTTCCATAATTCCTCACAACACCAGGATCACTTCTCATGTCAAACTTTGTGCTAATAGGAAGCTGATCACTGAAAAAAGCAAGAAAAATAACCACTAGTGTAAATACACACAAGAAGAACAATAAGGGCAGTGTTTAGGAAACTTTCTTTTTATAACATGCATACCTTCCTCGAGTTAAAACCATGGGGCAAATGCAGTCTCGTGTCATTGACATCTTAAAGCTTCGACTAACAACAGGATTGAAACTAAGCAGACGTGGATACAGATCGATTGGGCTCAGGCTTCCTGATGTAATCACTACTGATTGGAAACGATCAAAGACCGGTTTTATAGCCAGAGACGCATCATGACAGCTCAACTAAGATACAAGGATATGTTTCAGATACATTTCTCCATAGATATTTTAGTAGTGCAGTTAACCTTTGAGTCAATATCTCTGAAACCAATACAAACAATACACTCAAAAAGAAAGTAGATAAACAAATACTAACCTGCAGTATAGGATCTGGTATATGAGGCATTCTTTCGTCGTAAAGCTCAATGATGATAGAAAAGCCTCTTGCATATGTCCCAACAAGAGTTGCAAAGTTGCACACTGTCTTGATAGGCAAAAACTCATCTGTGTCCGTAATTTCAAGGGTTAACATGAGAAACTGGAGCCGTTCATAGCAGAACTTCAGTGTTTTCTGCTCAATTCTAGCCTGAGAATTAAGCGACGATACAAAGCTGACAGTGCGTTCTTTCTCCGCGTTCTCAGTATCAAGCCGCCCTCCCAAGTGCTGAAGTAATCGGCGTAAAAGATCGTGAAAATGGTCAGCCCGTCTAATATTTCCTGGGACAGGCTCCTTTAGAATATCATGGGGCAATGCAGGGTTTGCAAGCCATTGATCAGTTTCTGCAGACAAACATATATTACTGTTAGGTTCAAAGAATCAACCAAACCACGTATTACCTTGCTCACTATATATTTACCAGATAAGTCCTCTCTCAGTGCTAACCCCTCAACCAGGCGGTTGTATTCAGCTTGCAATCTTTCTGCATCTGTCTCCTTGAACCTTCTTACCAGTTAGACAACTTTAATAGTGTAATAAGAATTTAAGCAAGCATTAGCAAACAACCAAGCCAGACTCTGCACTGAAACAAAAAAAAAACTAATAGTTGCTAGCAATCTCCACCCACAAAACAGTTTATTATTAAGTGTAATAAGAATTTAAATAAGTATCAGCAAGCAACTACGCCACAAGACAATTCTACACTATAGGATCACTAAACAAGACAGTCATGTGCTTCAAGTTGCTAACTGTAGCGTTTATAAATTTATGTTCTCCAATGTCAGTTCGTGAGAAGAAGCAATCTCATAAACGCAGATATCTTTCTTACTAGAATACTGCAAACCAAATACTATAGCGTACCTATCAATTTCTTGCTTAATCTTATTAAGATTTCGAGTAGCTCCTTGGAGTGTAGACCTCCTCACACTGACGCTGAGTGCTTCAACACACACATTATCTATACTATGCGCCTCGTCAAACACTACAACAGTCTCCTTCTGTAACTCCTTGCATATAACTCCACCAACCTTAGGATCCAGTAAATACTGGTAGCTACAAACAATAACATTTGCGAAATGAACCATACGCCTCGCAAGAAAGTAAGGACACCATCCTCGATCCATACCAAACTCCTTCAAATCCTAACATCAAAACACACACACACACACATTCAACATCAACCAAACATGTCCAGAATAAGATTCCAAACTTCAAACTCGTTGAACATTGTTGATTGTTAGATTGCTTAATTCTTATACACACAGAGAATTTGATCACCGCGGTCATTTATCAATAAGTATAAACACCAGGAGGCAATAACGCATTCTCATCAGCCTTCTCGTAGTTCTCAAAATAATCACAGAGTTCTACATTTGGTTTCTTCCTTTTGAACATCATCTTCTTCCTTTTCCGGGATCGGAATTAAAAATATCTACGAGTGCAAGCAGATATATATAGGTGGAGAAAGTAGATTAGTTAATTGCGTTTTAGTAACATAGTTTTTTATATTTTGACCCCTTTACATTTGGGCTTTTAAATCAATTTAAGCCCATTTAAACTTGGGCTTAAGACGATGATTACGTCATATATAGTTTGTTATTGGAATGTTAAAAACTAAAAACTTCTCCCTCCAAAAAAACCCAATCACCTCGGCGGCGAGCGATTCGATTGAAGAAAACCTTTGTTCCGATGGATCTGCTGAGGCAAGAAATTCTGAAGAAGAGGCAGAGTCTCTCCGAGGAAGCTGGTGGCAAGAAATTCTACAAACGATCCGAGATCGAGCAGAAGAAACTCCAGAAGCTTCGTGAGGAAGAGCGACGCGAGCAAGAGCTCAAAGCCCAGCGTAGAGCCGCCGCCGTATCTAGCAGCGGTGGTAAATCATCCGGAGATTCCTCTTCAACTGCTTCTGCATCGGAGTCAGTTGCTGCGATCGCTGATTCCAAATCCCTAACCGACGAGAAGAACATCGAAACCCTAATTCTCCCAAAGCAAGAAGTAATCCGCCGATTGAGAATCCTAAAGCAGCCGATGACTCTCTTCGGAGAAGACGATCAAGCTCGTTTAGATCGACTCAAGCACGTGTTGAAAGAAGGATTGTTCGAGGTCGATAGCGACGTGACAGATGGACAGACGAATGATTTCTTGCGTGACATCTCTGAGATGAAGAAGAGTGGGACGATGGGAGAGAGGAAGAGGAAGAGCAGAGAGGAAGGAGGTGAGAGAGGGGAAGCCAGGGATGATGAGCTTAGTGGTGAGTCTAGTGACGTTGATGCTGATAAGGATTTGAAGCGTTTGAAGTCTAATTTCGAGGATCTTTGTGATGAGGATAAGATACTTGTGTTTTATAAGAAGCTGTTGATTGAGTGGAAACAGGAGCTTGATGCTGTGGAGGATAGTGAGAGGAGGACTGCTAAAGGGAAGAAGAATGTTGCCACTTTTAAGCAGTGTGCTAGGTATCTTACTCCTCTCTTCAACTTATGCAGGAAGAAGGTATAAAGCTATATCCTTTTGCATTTTTGTTTGTTGTTCTGGTGTAGAACGTTTTGGTAGTGAGATAACTCGTGGACTTTTTTTGTGGAACTTATATAAGGTTGAAACTTGTTATGGAGATTATCTGTGTTATGTGAAATTGGACATAGACTATTTCAGTTCTATCTAGTTAGCATACAGAACTTAGATTGGGTACGAACACAGATGTACAACGTCTAGGTTTCATTAGCTTGATTATTTTTGGTTTCAGATTTGGTGACAAGAGTATATATTTCCGTAATTATATTGCTACATAAACGCTTAAGACGTAGAATAGCAAGTAGCAATCTGTTTCTTTAGAAGTATTATATGCACCTTGAGCTTGGTAATGAGATCATTCGTAGACTTGTTGTGTTAGCTTTTGTATGGTAACAAGTAGGTACGGAGATTATCTGTGTTTTATGGAATTGGACATAGACCATCTTACTTCTATCTAATTAGCATACATAACTATGTTGGCTAAACTTAGTTTGCGAAGGAACACATATTGACAATGTTTTTGGTTCAATTAGTTTGGGACTTTTGGTTTTAAATATTGTGCCAAGAACGACCTTTCAATAATTCTAATGCTACATAGACAATTTATGAAGTAGAATTAATTTTATATACCTTGAGGTCTGTGTTATCTACCATTTAGCAACTCTTTAAGATTTTGGTGTAAAGCAAGTTTCTCCCTTTCTGGTCTTATTAAGGTTAATATACTCTTTAACATTGAAGTTTTATGAGATTTCCTGTACTTGAACGTTTCTGTGATGGGTTACAAATTGCAGGGATTGCCATCTGATATTCGTCAAGCGTTAATGGTGATGGTTAACCACTGCATAAAGCGAGACTACCTTGCTGCAATGGATCACTACATCAAACTAGCAATAGGAAACGCACCATGGCCCATTGGTGTGACTATGGTTGGTATCCACGAGCGTTCAGCGCGAGAGAAGATTCACACCAACAGTGTTGCTCACATCATGAACGACGAGACCACTCGCAAGTATCTTCAGTCCGTTAAAAGATTGATGACATTCTGCCAGAGACGTTATCCGACTATGCCTTCTAAAGCCGTTGAGTTCAATAGCTTAGCCAACGGAAGCGATTTACAGTCTTTGCTCGCTGAAGAGAGGTACTTTGGTGGTAATCGTGGACAAATCTCGGAAGAGAGACTACGCCTCATGCCTTCTCAGAACGACAACTAATGTTTGCTTCTTTGTTGTGCTGTGAACCTTTTCTAAGATAGTTATGAAAGTTTCATTGTTCTGTACTGAAAGTGTTCATTCTAGATCTCAACTGCCACTGCTGGAAACTACAATTGTATCATAATGTAACGGTACAATGATTAAAGTGACAAAAAAACATAAAACATAATGATGAAAGTGACAAAAAAACATAATGATAGATCTTCAAACAAGATCAACAGATTGCAATTAGTTGGTGGTTTTCTTATCATTTCTGCTTCTTTTCCTGAACTCTCTCTTCTCTTCAGAGTATTGCTTCTTCATCAAAAGGCTGGACATTGCTGCTCTCACAGCTTCTGATGCAGCAATCATCATACTCTCTTCAATTGAAATTTTACCTTGCAATTTCTCCAACAGTTTTGTCCCTCCAGGAATCTTCTCATCTTCAAGGATTGAAGATTTTTCAGACTCAATGCACGAGATGGCCCGAACTCTTGAATAACCGGGCTGGTTTGGACCATTTGAAGCTCCTGATACCATCCATAGTGTAGATGTGCTTAAAGAGATGCTAGTGGGGATAAAACTTTCTCCAGGAATTTGAAGCACCTAAAGGATAAATACCCTGTTATATATGGTTATGCTGATGTTACATGATTTGATAACAAGTGTCGTACCTTTGTGATGGAGAGAGTATGGGCTGACATATCACAGCTTAGCAATAATATTCCTTGAAAGCTGCATTTAGCATTGGTAAATATAACCAAACAGTTAGTATCTTAAAGAAACACATGCTGACAAAGAAAGTAGACTTGCCTTTGAATAGCCACTGCTGCAAGAGAAGAATCTGGGATGGCGCATAGATCAGTAACTGTGACTTGCGTTTGCTCACTTTCATTGGACTCTAAATGTCCAGCCTTCAATAAGCAAACGGCAATAAATAAAGTAAATAAATTACTTCTCTAACGAGTGTCTGACTGAACTTACATAACCAAAAGTTCCATTTGACAAATAGACAGAAGAATGTAGGACTAAATTTTTACCACTGTACTAACTTCACATGTGTCAAGTAGAGACCCAGATGTTATATCCCAAAGTCGGACCTACAAAAAACATCCGCATCAGTACCAACGAATCTAAAGCACTAGTCACTGTTGTTAAAATACATGAATAGAGATTTAAGATCACTTACAGTTGAATCTCCACTTCCAGATATTAGGTAGCTTGGAGTAAGCTCTGGACTGGAGACAAAAGCTATACAGGTGACGAACCTAACCAGAGTTTTAAACAAAACGTTAAAATTAGCTGTTAAGTAATAAGTACTAAGGATGAGATGAAATGTTGCCTTAAACTCTAACTTACTCTGTATGTCCAAGACAAAAGCTCTGGATTTCATGAGCCCCTTGTAGAGGCTCCTCAGGAAAAACAGTCACCTGTGATAGCAAAAATACCACTATAAGCCCAATCCAAACCAAAAGGCATAACATTATACATGAGTGGATTAATTTACACTAGCTTACCCTTATCTTAAAGTCCCGATCAGCACTAAGAATATATCGACCATCAGGAGAAAACTCCTATAAACAAGATCAGATCAGACTAAGAAAAAAATAAAGTAACACTTCATCTTTTGTAAAAGAAATCTTACCAAGCTAGTAATAATACTACAATAATGCGAAAGCAGCGGGACACCCTTCTTCCCATCAAGCTCGACCACCCATACAACACCAAACTTGTCCGCATAACATATATACGAATCATCATGGCTTATAGCAACCGCAGTAACTCTTTTCTCAGAACATCTGTCATTGTTTATTATAAAATAATTACAAAAACATAGAAGCAACATTCTTTGAATCAGTACTTGAAAAAAAAAATGCTTACATGGTGTTAAGACAGTGCCAAGACTCAGCAGACCAAATCTTAACGAGCTTGTCATCTCCTGTAGACACAAAAAGCTTCCCACTTGCACTATAGCGAATAGCTCTAATTGAATCTTTATGGAATGACTCATTAGATTCATCATCCACCAATGTAACTGGACTATTATCTCTGCGGATTAAACATTTAATCAATTAACAATTACTATACACTAAGGTCTTCCAACAAATTTAACCTATGGAAGAAGAGAAACATGAGCTGAAGGAGGCAATGAGCTTACATAAGATTGAATACACGAAGATCCGATCCGACAGTGACAGCGATGGATTTCTGAGATGGATGAACGGTAATTAATGCAGGAGCAACATCGAGTAGTTTGTTCTGCTTTTCTCCTTCTTCGATGTGAGATTCTTCCATTGTTACACAGACGGATCGAAGAAGAACAGTAGTTTAGGGTTTATGCAGTTCGTTAAAAAACTTGGAGGGTCAGATTTTAGATATTGTTTTTGTAATAAGATTTACGTTTTTTTATTAAAAAGATAATTTGTTTGTCGGCCCACGCTGTGATAAAATACAATTAATGGGCCACGCGTATTGGCCCATCAATGCACGCCAGCTACATACTAACTGAGAAATTTCAAACTTGGTTTGACGAATAAAAAAAAAAGATGTTTTTTTTTCAGTAAAACGAAGCTTCAGGCTGTCTCAGTTTTTTTTTGTTCCTCGTTGATGCTATTGAAGTTACATGTTCTCAGTATCAAGCTTCTTTACTACATGATTTGGCAAGAAAACTTGTTCCGTCTAATGCAAGAAACCACAGTGTGTTTAGCTTCGTATGAGGACCATTTTGACGTCTGGTGTGTGTCTATAAAGGCAAAGCTAACAAAAGTTCAGAGCGGAGACTCAGCTCAAGAAGAGGGAATCGGGAATCTGGTTTTAACATTCAAGAATGGCTTGTATCTTGATTATTAGTTTTTGTGATCCCCATTGCAGTATACACATTGATAAAAGCTTGAAATTAATTTATTTCTTTGTAGGATTTCAGTTTATATACAGACCCAAACTGCTTATTAGTTCAGGTTTCGTGTAAAGTAGTGGATGAGTTGGATCAATAGCGTAACCGTGTTACTTATCCTGCAAAGATTGTGAAATGGGTGGAGTTAATTGAAAAGTCTGAAAGGAGGAAAAAAGTTACTACTAGATTACACTAACCTTTGATCCTGAATAGAGCACTTCCATCTGAAACCTGTTGGCCTGCTTTAACCTTGAGGTCATGTATGCTTCCAGATGACGGTGCTTTCACAACATGCTAAAAACCATGGCCAAGGAGAATTAAACGACAATTAGTTTACTCTCTGCTATATTAATGGTATAGGAAGAGATATTTATACTAACCTCCATCTTCATTGCCTCCATGACTAATACAGGTTGACCTTGATCTACTTTGGCTTCGTTTTCGACAAGGACCTTGACTACCAAACCAGCCATGGGAGCCACAACGGTTCCTAGAGGGTGTGATGATGTTTCTGAGCTGGTTCTGTGTTGGACACCTTCTTCATCTTCAGAGAATTCAACTCCTACCTTCTGCTTGAACTGATGGTGTTCTGAACCGTGCCATATATGGATGTGTTTATAACCATCCTGTTACCAAAAAACACATCATAAGCAGCAATTTCAAGAAAGACACGTTGCTTGAACATGATGATGCTGATCAGCTGATGGTTTTACCTTCAAGTACGCGGCTATGGTAACATTCATGCTCAACCCAGCTGCTTCAACTCTAAAATCGCAGTTTCCAGCTCGAGTTACTCTGACTTCTAAACTTGGAGTGTCATTGCCTTCCTGTCTCGTAGAATGTTGTCAAAACATCAAAACCCCAAATAAAGGATTCATAAATTAAGTATGAATGAATATGATACCTGTATGAGATAGCTTCCATCTGGTTGATATACTACACCGAGTGATATGAGGTTCGAGCCAGTTCCCTCGCATTCATTATCCCACTCAAACTCAATCGTTTGCTTAGCTTCATGATGGACTCTAAAAGGAGGATGAGAATACCATATTGATGGAAGCTTCCCTGTATGAGTTTACACAATAAAATTAAGGCATGCTCGGGAACCATGTAACTTGTAAAGAAGAGACTAGGCTCATGTGAACTAACCATGATTACTTTCATTCCAAGCAGATTGCTCGATTGCAGATACACAAGCAGCTACCAAAGCTGCACTATGCTTAGATGCCTTGAATGCCATTTCTGCTGCAGCTGGATTGCTTTCATCAGCAAATAGATCGCTTTTATGGTGCTCAATAAAATGAGTTTCTACGTTTCCCGCTGCAAACTCCTTATGACTAGCAAGTTTCTGAAGGAAATTTATGTTTGTAGGTACACCTGCTACCTGTCAACAAAAGATGGCATGTAATTACTGAAATATGTGGTAACTAAGAAGGCGTGTGTAAGAAACTGGAAGAAGTTTCGTAAGTAAGAAAATCATAAATGAAACCTTCAAGCGTTGACAAAATGTTGTTAATTGGAGTCTCAGGGATGTACCTGAAAGTTAGACAAGCAGTCCTTGAGTTTCACTAAAGCTTCACCGCGATTGCCTCCAGAGACAACAAGCTTTGCAATCATAGGATCATAGTGCATACTAACAGTGTCTCCTTGCTCAACTCCAGTTTCAACCCGAACTGTTGGAGAAAAAGTCCAACATGAAAAAGGTTCACAACAGGATAAAAACACGGTCTAATGTCTGACAGAAATGAAAACTTTCCAAGAGATGGAAGAGAAAAAAATAGTTTTATATATGACCAACGGAACCTGATGATGAGACTGCAACAGGGCGATAATGATTGAGGACACCAGTTGCAGGAAGAAATCCCTTTGGAACATTTTCAGCATATATCCTGGCCTCAAAGGCATGACCTGACAAGAGATACATATGCAGATAAAGAACTGAACTCACAGATGGAAATTAATAGATAAATTTTCACGAAAATTATGGACTCAATAGGAAAAACTAGATATAAATAACCTAAAAACTATTTTTTTCATTGTTATGAATGATACCTAACAATGGCACCTCGGCTTGGCTTATGGGGAGAGGTTCCCCATTGGCAACCCGAATTTGCCATTCCACAAGATCTTGACCAACAATCATCTCAGTTACAGGATGCTCAACCTAAGAAGGATTATCAGTGTTCCTTTGGATAATTAACATGTTTATTGAGGTAACTTTGGTTATACACATAAATGAAAGAATCACCTGGAGACGGGTGTTCATCTCCATAAAATAAAATTGGTCAGACTCAGTGTCAACTATAAACTCAACCGTCCCAGCATTGTAATATCCAACTGCCTTTAAATATCAGAAGGTTACAAAATATAAGTTCTTGAGGAAGTTGAAGTGAAGGATTTTTCACTAAAATCAGGATTTAAAGTGATACCCGTGCCGCAGAGACAGCAGCTTGGCCTAAGCTAGCCCGGAACTTTTCAGATATATTAGGCTGGACAGATAGAGTTTCAATCAGATCCACATCCATTCATTCTAGAAATTATATGAACCAATAACAGAAAGAACAGATAGTCATTATTACCGCAGGAGCTTCTTCGATAATCTTTTGGTGTCTTCTTTGGACACTGCAATCTCTTTCGTAAAGATGAAGAACATTTCCATGTTTGTCACCAAATACCTGAAGGCAGTGGAAACACAGAAGGAAAGTTAATTAAAAAATGAGAGAAAGATTGAAGATCAGAAACGGTTTCTCTATGAATATATCACAACTTAATCCATATAGCTCAAACAGAAACATGGCATTACATATAGAAGTTTTCCTTCTATTCATAATAATTGGGTCTAAATTCTAAAGGCGCCATAACCATATTGGCATACTAAGAGACAGAATATGAAATTTGACAACCACTACCTGGACTTCTATATGCCTTGGTCGAGTAATGTATTTCTCAAGAAGAATGGTGTTAACGCCAAAAGAAGCAGCAGCCTCACGTTGAGCTCCCAGAAAAGAATCAGCAAAATCCCTCCCACTTTGCACTATCCTCATTCCCTGTAAAACAAAAGCTTTCGGAACCAATAAATATTAAAAGATTATCTAACTACATCTGAAAAGATGTCAAAACGATGTTTCCGGAGCTAGTATTAAAGGTGAGATCAAAGCAAATGGAAAATATTACATACCTTTCCACCACCTCCATGTGTTGGTTTGATTATTAAAGGGTATCCAATCTTTTCCGCTTCTGACTTCATATGATCAATATCTTGCTCATGGCCATGATATCCAGGCACAAGAGGAACCCCAGCAGCACCCATTATTCTCTTGGATGCACTAAGCAAATACAAATCAAGTACACATCGTCACAAGTTATTTAAAAAATGATCATAAAAAGACACCTTGTGCAAAAAGAAGTACGAAGCTAACCTTTTATCACCCATGTCTCTAATTGCAGATGCTGGAGGTCCAATGAATGTTAGTCCCGAATCTTCACAGAGCTGAGCAAAGTCGGAACTTTCCGACAAGAACCCATACCCAGGGTGTATTGCCTAGTCATAACTCAAAAAAAAAAAAAACATCAGCTATACTAAAAAAAAAACACTATCTTTCAACTAAAGAGTCCACTTTTCAAGGAACATGAATCAACTATAAGCGTAAGAAACAATCCTAGCAACTAATCCCCACTAATAATCAAAGCTTCAAGTTCCATAAAGTTCGCTCCTTTATTCCCACGGAAGTCTCTAAAACTAATCAACAGACTTAATCAAAAACTGACACCTGTGCGCCGGTTCGAGCCGCTGCCTCCATAATAGCGGCGCCGCTGAGGTAACTGAGCCGAGCGGGAGGAGGACCAATACGTACGGCCTCATCAGCAGATTTCACATGGAGAGAATCTCTATCAGCGTCGCTGTAAACCGCAACGGTCTGAATCCCGAGACGTTTCGCCGTTCTCATGATCCGGCAAGCGATCTCGCCTCTGTTCGCCACCAAAACCTTCTCAATACACTGCTGCTCGTTAGGCTTATTGATCGTAGCTCTTCCACCGGAAGATGGAGAGGCGGAGATGTGTCTGACGAGCAGCGAGTAAGTTCTCCGGCGAACGTTCCGACGAAGTGCCCATAGTGTCATCGACATTGATTTTGGTTTCGAGTTTTCCGAGTGAGAGACAAGTGTGACTCAGCAACTGTAGATAAAAACGGAAAAGACAAGGGGTCTTTTAGTCATTTTGTTTAGTTTTAAATAATGACGTGCGTGCTTTCTCATGGGATTGGTCGTGGAATGGATATGCGTCTGATGTTGCGCTTGCGTTGCGTCTCTACCCTTTCGACCCAACTTTATCCGTATTGTACTATGGGCTTCAATATTTCTTAATGGGCCGGTAATTATGATGTATCCGAGGCTCGATTACAATATTTCTTAATGGGCCGGTAATTATGATGTATCCGAGGCTCGATTACAATGTTGAAATATTATAAACTTTTTCATTATAAATCGCAATTAGTTAAGATTAGTTTAGAAATTAATTAGTTAAGATTACAATGAGCAACTATTAAAATGTAAGATAAAGAACTATTAAAATGGTTGGTATGGATGGCTGTTGAGTGATGATTTCTCTATTTATTTTTTCTTTAGCATCAAATGGTTGGTATGGATGGCTGTTGAGTGATGATTTCTCTATTTATTTTTTTCTTTTGATTCTTTAGCATCGTCTGCGTACTTCTGATTTAAAAACCAACAGAAATAAAATAAAGAACAAAAACACCTTTCAATCAATTCCATATTACATACATATAGAATATGTTAGAAAAAAAAATGGTTGATACAAAGTCACGTTTTCAGTTTGGTTAACAAAATAAAGTAATACTAACTATCTCGTAACACAATGTTAATATATACATAGAACATGTTTAGAAAAAAATGGTTGATACGAAGTCACATTTTCATTTTGGTTTACAAAATAAAGTAATGCTAACTATCTCTAAACGCCATGTTAATATGTATAACCTTTTATGATGCTTAGAAGTCAATTTATTCCAATAGATGAATCATTCTTTTCTGTCTTGGATATATATATANATTTTCATTTTGGTTTACAAAATAAAGTAATGCTAACTATCTCTAAACGCCATGTTAATATGTATAACCTTTTATGATGCTTAGAAGTCAATTTATTCCAATAGATGAATCATTCTTTTCTGTCTTGGATATATATATAGAATAAACAACCAGTCTTCGTTGGTTTGGTTGGTTACAAAAAGAGATGTTATAAGTTGCGTCAAAGAAGTAAGTAATACATCTTCTTTTTCATACTGAGTCACAATTGTAATTTTAGGCTGGAATTTGAACGTCAGCATATACTTCTTACGGTTATTTATAAACTCACCAACCCCAACATTTTTTGAGAAATCAAACGCCAACTTTAATTGGTCACATGAAATTATTGGAAAAGTTTGACACGCAAGATGGCAATAGAATAGGTCGAAAGGAACACTAATATACAACGTGGAGAAACTGGCAAAGGATGACACGGAAGTGGACCTAAAGCACACCGTCCAAGACGTCCTGTCTTTGTCACTTATCATTTCTCAGCCTCCCTATGCTTTATCAACATTATCAGCATTATTTTGCTTATTCAATTCAGCTATAAAAACAATAGTATTGCATGTGGGTATTTATCTTGGTATAACAAGAAGAAGAAATGGCAATAGTCTTTCTAACTATAGTTTCCAAAACATATACCAAATTTCTTTTACCTCATCCAGTAGTTTTTAAAATATTACTTATTCATGATTCAAAACTGCTAAGTTTTATTATTCAGATTTATAATATTTAAAACAAGGAGATGCATTATTAAAAATAATTAGATATAAAAAGTGTCAAGTGATCAAATATGTTTTGCATGTGGAAAGGAAAGTATAAGATGAAATAGTATTATCTTTTGTACACACCAGATTCCAATAATTAATTAAAAGCTTATAATTAATTTAATAATAGATGGATTAAATAATCAGTTTCTGGACATAAGGTCCATAAGATTTTTTAAAAAAGTTAAAGCCACTTAGTGGACACGAGGTGATTCCAAGCTGCAAAGTCACGCAACTTCGAATAATAAAGTAATAATTTAACAAAAAAAAATATTTTTTGAGAGAACAGTAGAAGAGGATGATAACGTCATTTCGAAGCTTCGTCTAAGTCTACACCGTATCTAACCAAAATTCTTTACAACGTCAAAAAATAGAATATAGAGCGGAAACACCTGTAAAGAGAGAGAAATCCAGCCGAAGAAGATTCATGACAAGTCAAAGCGGAGGGAACTGGATACGGAGAACTTTTTAAAAAATACTATTATTTCCGGTAATTGTCGCGATCTTTGCTTTCAGACTGTTAAATTCGTTTGGGTAAAGATCAACAGTTGTAGGTAGTTTATGTTTGGTCTTATTAGTACTTTACTATGGTCATGTGGTTTCTCTTTGTTGATTTTGGATGTGATCTTCTTATTTCTCGTTTATTAGAGCAGAATAATCGTCTTTTTTTTTTGCTGATGATCGGGTTTGATATGTTTCTAACCAGACTCCCGATTGCTTCGGACAGTGAAATATTTGTTTTTTTGTTTTGGTCTCGATTTTGGTCTTCGTTGACTTGGTAATTCATTTCTGGAAATGATAATACAAAGATCATAAGTTTAGGAGCATGAAACCGTGGTGGGACTATTAAAATGTAAGATAAAGAACTATTAAAATGGTTGGTATGGGTGGCTGTTGAGTGATGATTTCTCTATTTATTTTTTCTTTTGTTTCTTTAGCATCGTCTGCGTACTTCTGATTTAAAACCAACAGAAATAAAATAAAGAACAAAAACACCTTTCAATCAATTCCATATTACATACATAAAGAATATGTTAGAAAAAAAAAATGGTTGATACAAAGTCACGTTTTCAGTTTGGTTAACAAAATAAAGTAATACTAACTATCTCGAAACACAATGTTAATATATACATAGAACATGTTTAGAAAAAAATGGTTGATACGAAGTCACATTTTCATTTTGGTTTACAAAATAAAGTAATGCTAACTATCTCTAAACGCCATGTTAATATGTATAACCTTTTATGATGCTTAGAAGTCAATTTATTCCAATAGATGAATCATTCTTTTCTGTCTTGGATATATATATANATTTTCATTTTGGTTTACAAAATAAAGTAATGCTAACTATCTCTAAACGCCATGTTAATATGTATAACCTTTTATGATGCTTAGAAGTCAATTTATTCCAATAGATGAATCATTCTTTTCTGTCTTGGATATATATATAGAATAAACAACCAGTCTTCGTTGGTTTGGTTGGTTACAAAAAGAGATGTTATAAGTTGCGCAAAGAAGTAAGTAATACATCTTCTTTTTCAACAAAGAAGTAATCTATTCTAACACATGTATTCTGAGTCACAATTGTAATTTTAGTATGAATTTGAACGTCAGCATATACTTCTTACCGTTATTTACAAACTCACCAACCCCAACATCTTTTGAGAAATCAGACACCAACTTTAATTGGTCACATGAAATTATTGGAAAAGTTTGACACGCAAGATCGCAATAGAATAGGTCGAAAGGAACACTAATATACAACGTGGACAAACTGGCAAAGGATGACACGGAAGTGGGCCTAAAGCACACCGTCCAAGACTTCCTGTCTTTGTCACTTTATCATTTCTCAGCCTCCACTATGCTTTATCAACATTATCAGCATTATTTTGCTATTCAATTTAGCTATAAAAACAATCGTATTGCATGTGGCTGAAAGGTCCGTCCAATATTCATAATATAGTTTTCATCTCTCCTCTTATCTTCCAAGCAACAATTTATCTTCTTTGGAAAGAGAGAAACTCACGAATCCACCACAATACTTTCCGTCCTCCCGAAGCAGTCATTAAGGAGATTCAGGATACAATCAAGATGCGTCTGGATCCGCTTTCACGCAAGGAGCAAATAAAAAATAACCAACAGGCTTCTACCTCCTTACTAGGTACGTGGTTTTCCTTCTTCTAAAAGCTTTATTATTAGGTCTCTTGATTTAGTTTAGGGCCTTGTTTCGATAGCCCGTTTGTGATTTTGTATTGTAGGATTCATGTTGACCCACAACAATATTCCTAATTTGTATGGGCTTTTTATTTAAAAAAAAAAAAAAACAAGAAGAGGAAATGGCAATAGTCTTTCTAAATATAGTTTCCTCAACATGTACCAAATTTCTTTACCTCATACAGTGGTTTTTAAAATATTACTTATTCATGATTTTGAAACATATATCTAACAGTAAAAGAGGGTGGTAACGTCATTTCGAACCTTCTCCTAAGTCTACACCGTACCTAACCAAAATTCTTCACCACGTCAAAAAGTAGAACACAGAGCGGAAACGCCTGTAAAGAGAGAGATATCCAGCAAAAGAAGATTTAGGACAAGTCAAAGCAGAGGAAGCTGGATACGAAGAACTCTTTAAAAAATACTATTCTTTCCGGTAATAATTGTTGCGATCTTTGCTTTCGGACCTGATTTTTCAGTACTGTTAGATTCGTTTGGGCAAATATCAACAGATGTTTGGTCTAATTAGTTATGTACTAAGGTCATGTGGTTTCTCTTTGTTGATTTTTTGGGTGTGATCGTCTTATTTCTCGTTTTAATAGAACAGAAGAATCGTCTCTTTTTTTATTTTCTGATGATCGGTTTGATATGTTTTTTGACCAGGTTAGGTTACTCCCGATTGATTCGGACAGTGAAATATTTGTATTTTGTCTCGATTTGGCCTTCGTTGACTTGGTAATTCAATTTCTATTTCTCTTTCTCCTTTTTTGTCTCTATGCATTTTATATATTAATGATTGATCAGCTTGCTCATTCTTATAGAAGCTTAGCCCTTGCTTCTTCTTTTGCTTTTTTAGTTTAGGATTCTTACCTGTTATCTTGGCATTGAAGACGCCTCTGATTTTGGCACATTCTGGTTCAGGAGTGATTTAATATCGTGTGGGAGAAATGGCTGTTGTTGCGAATTTTAATACTAAACGTTATTCTTGGTGGTGGGATAGTCACAATATCCCCAAGAACTCTAAATGGCTTCAGGATAATCTTACAGGTATGTGATGACTAATAAAAGCTACTACTTCATCTTATTATAAATGTGATTTTTTAGTGAGCCTTATATTGCTCAATGGAAGAATTATTTTTTGTTCAGTGAGATATTAGGGCTTGGTCGTTTTCATCATTATGATGTAGAGTCCACAAACGTCTTTGATTTTAGTTCAGTTTTATGTCACGAGGAGAAGAAATTTGTTTGCGATTTACTAACATGTTTTTTTTTGGTTGATAGATATGGATAGTAAAGTCAAGCAAATGCTCAAGGTTATTGAAGAAGATGCAGATTCTTTTGCTAGGCGAGCAGAGATGTACTACAAAAAGCGGCCTGAGCTTACGAAATTGGTGGAAGAGTTTTATCGAGCGTATCGTGCTTTAGCTGAAAGATATGATCATGCCACCGTTGTTCTTCGTCATGCTCAGCAGACTATGGCAGAAGCGTTCCCAAACCAAGATCACACCATGATGTTTTGTGAGGAATCACTCGTTGGTTCTTCCGCCGATGAGTTTGATCCACAAACGCCTGAAAGTTATCCTCCTATCCGAGCTCCGGTTTACCCCACTGACTTACAAAAAGATGCTTTGGGGATCTCTTCCTCTCATTTGAGTACAGTTAAGCGAAATATAGCCTTCATGGAAGATACTCAGTCTTTGAATAACGGGCAAGGTTTGAAAATTAGAAAGACAAGAAAAGGACTGGATTTCAGTGATGTTGATGGAAACGGAAGAAATGCGAAGGTTCTTTCAGAGTCTGAACGCGCTAGCAAAGCTGAAGCTGAGATAGTGGCGCTAAAAGAGGCTCTTTCAAAAGTGCAGGCTGAAAAGGAAGCTAACTTAGCTCAGTTTGATCAGAATCTGGAGAGACTGGCTAATCTAGAGTCTGATGTATCTCGTGCACAAGAGGACTCAAGGGGTTTTAATGAACGAGCTACAAGAGCTGAGGCTGAGGTGGAAACACTCAGAGAAACTCTCAGAAAAGTAGAGGTTGAAAAGGGATCCAGCTTTCTTCAGTATCAGCAATGTCTACAAAACATAGCTGATTTGGAGGATCGCATTTCTATAGCCCAGAAGGAGGCTGGAGAAGTAGAAGAGCGAGCCAGCCAAGCTGAAGCCGAAATTGTATCCTTGAAGCAAAGGCTTGTCGGATCAGAAACTGACAAGGAAGCTGCTCTTGTCCAATATAGGCAATGCTTGGAAACCATATCTAACTCGGAAGAGAGATTGCGCAAGGCTGAGGAAGATGCCAGGTTCATCAATCAACGGGCAGAAAATGCTGATGGTGAAGTTGAAAGCTTGAAGCAAAAGGTCTCCAAATTGACTGAAGAAAATGAAGCTTATGAACTCCAATACCAACAGTGCCTGGAGACAATTGCAGATCTAAAGCTCAAGCTGTTTCATGCTCAAGAAGAAACCCAAAGGCTTAGCCGTGAAATAGAGGATGGAGTTGCCAAGTTAAAGGTTGCGGAAGAAAAATGTGTAGTGCTTGAGAGATCAAACGAAAATCTGCACTCTGAGCTGGATGGTCTATTGGAGAAACTAGGGAATCAAAGCCATGAACTCACGGAGAAACATGAAGAGATGGGAAAATTGTGGACTACTGTACAAGAAGAACACTTGCGTTTCATGGAGGCTGAGACCGCCTTTCAAACCCTGGAACAATTGCACTCTCAGTCTCAGGAGGAGCTAAGCACTTTGGCATTGGAACTGCAAAACAGGTCTCAGATCCTTAAAGAAATGGAGACCCGTAACATTAGTTTACAGGAGGAAGTCCAGGAAGCAAAAAACGAGAACAAATCCCTTAGTGAGCTCAATCTCTCTTCGGCTGCATCCATTAAAATTTTGCAGGAGGAGGTCTCGAGATTATGGGAGAATATACAGGCACTTGAAGCAGAAGTTGAACTGAGAGTGGACCAGAGAAATGCTTTACAGCACGAAATATACTGTCTTAAAGAGGAATTAAGCCATATAGGAAAGAAACACCAGTCCATGGTAGACCAGGTGGAGTTGGTTGGTTTACATCCAGAAGGCTTTGGATCTTCTGTCAAGGAGCTGCTGGAGGAGAACTCAAAGCTAAAGGAAATTAAGGAACGAGAAAGTATCGAAAAGGCTGCCCTGCTTGAGAAGTTAGAACTGATGGAAAAGCTTGTTAAGAAAAATCTTGTTCTGGAGAACTCCATATCAGATTTGAATGATGAGCTGGATACAATCAGAGGAAAGCTGAAGAAAGTGGAGGAATCTTGTATGTCACTTGAAGAAGAGAAATCAGGCCTTCATTCTGAGAAGGACATGTTGATTTCCCGCTTGCAGAGTGCTACAGAAAACAGCAAGAAGCTCTCTGAGGAAAACAGGTTACTGGAGAATTCTCTTTTTGATGCCAATGCAGAACTTGAAGAACTCAAGTCAAATTTGAAAAGGCTAGAAGACTCTTGCCACTTGCTGAAAGATGACAAGTCCAGTTTAGTAAATGAAAGAGAAAGCTTACTCTCTCAAATGGATATAATGAGAAAAAGCATTGAAGATCTGGAGCAAGAACAAGCAGAGTTAAAAGCGAGAGTTTTAGAATTAGCGACTGAAAGGGAATCTTCTCTTCGGAAAATTGAAGAGTTGGGAGTGTCTTTAGATGCCAAGGACCGTGAGTATGCTAGCTTTGTGCAATTGTCCGAGAGTCAGATGAATGGCATGAAATCAAAGATTCACCATCTTCAAGATGAAAACCAACGCGAGGAGAGAGAGTATCAAGTGGAACTCTATCGAGCTCATGATGCTCACGTCGAGATTATTGTTCTGCAAAACTGTTTGCAGGAGTGGCTTGAGAAGAATTCCTCTCTCGTTGCTGAGAATCAGAAGATCAAAGAGGCTTCTCAACTGTTAGAAAAGCTAGTTTCTGAAATGGAACAGGGAAATATTGGGAAACAAGTGCAGATTGAGTCCTCGATTAACTGCATTAAAACACTGAGAACGGGGATATTCCAGGTATTGACGAATCTTGAAGTTATCCCATGTACATATTCCAGTGATGAGAACTCACAAGACCAGAAAAATATGCATGCCATATTAAGTAGACTTGATGAGATGCAAACTATGCTTATGAAGATTCAGAATGAAAACCAGCAGTCCGCTATTGAGAACCTGGTCCTTGTTGAATTTCTTCGGCAACTGAAATCAGAAGCTGTTGGCATTGCAGCAGGGAAGAAACTCCTTGAGAAAGAACTTGAGTCTCAGCGATGCCTGCTCTCCCTTTCGCAGGGTGAGATCCAGAAACTTAGCTACGTGAATGGAGAATTGTCCACAAAAGTTAACCATGGAGTCAACAGAGAAGAAGTCATGAAGTTGGAAATTGAGGATTTGCACAGGCAAGTATTGCAACTTCGAAGTGACTACACCATTCTGCAGGGAGAGAATTACAGAATTTTGGACGAGAAAGTGTACTTGACAAAGTCTACACTGCAGTTGGAGGAGAAGAAACGTGAACTAGAAGAGGATATCTCTTTGCTTCTCTCTGAGACTATATACCAAAACAGTCTCATTCTTCTTTTGGAAGATGCCGTTTTAGAAAAACTTTCAGGGGCGGTGAAACTAAACGAGGATTTAGAAATGCTCAGTTTTGTTAAGAGTAAGCTCGAGGAAGAGGGAAGGGAGGTTGGTGGTAAGTTAAATTCTACAGAAACTGAGAACTTGCAGCTTAAAGGTTTGCTAGAGAAAACAGACGCTGAACTTTCTAGTGTGAAGGATCAATTGGTTCAAAAGGAGAAAGAACTCTTAGAAGCTATGTTGATGATCTCCATCGTGCAAAGTGAAAAATCTGAATTATCCAAGGCAGTGGAGGATTTAGAATGTAAATACAAGGAAACTAAAGCAATAGAAGAAGATAAAGAGAAGCAGGTTTTGAAACTTCGAGGAGACTACGATGAGCAGGTTAAGAAGACTGGTCATGCAAACGATGCTAATCTGAAACTGGAAGCTGAACTCGAAGGAATCAAAGTGGAGAAGGAAAAGCTGAACCAGGAGCTTTCCAAAGAGAAGAATGAGGTTGAACTATGGGAGTCTCGAGCTTCAACATTGTTTGGAGATTTGCAGATTTCAGTTGTTCGTGAAACATTGCTTGAAGGGTTGATCCATGAGCTAGCAGAAGACTACAAGAGCCTTGAAGAAAGAAGCACATTAAAAGACGTGGAGATTGGCCAGCTTAAAGGAAGTGTGAACAACTTAGAGGATGCGAACAAAGGACAAAACGATCTTATGAGTAAATACGGCCAAGTTATTATCTTGTTGAAGGAAAGCATAGAATCTCTTGAAAAACACATTGCTATGCCTCATGAATTCGAGAATGGACCAGCCAAGGTAAGATGTCATGAATCTTATTGATTGTAACGAAGCCCTTAGATTACTTTATCATTGTTCTAAGTCATAATTCCATTGAACTGATGTTGCATCTCTTTTGTTTTTGTTAATTTCACAATTTTCTTGTGGGAGAAGTAACCAATCTTTTGTATGTATGTCATACCAGGACACTGCTTCACTGGTGGATAACAACGAGGGAGTCTTAGAGCTGCAAGAAATGTGTTTGAGAATCAAAGCTATTGAAAAGGCGGTAGGCAAAAAGCTTGCAGTGCAAGAACTAAATACATCAAGCAAAAGTGGAAGTCTGCGGAAACAGAACAGTGAAATCTATGCAGAGGAAAGCGAAATGATCACGAAAGATATCGTACTCGACCAGGTTTCTGATTGCTCATCATATGAGATTAGTAAGAGAGACATTCTGAAGACAGAAGATGATCACAGTCTTGAGCCAAAACCACAAACACCTCAGAAAGGCAAATCCATGTCTGAAGAGCCACTGGTTGTGGACAAACTAGAGGTTTCAGATAGATTCACGGATCCAAGCAAAGAAGTAAACAAGAGGAAAGTTCTCGAGAGACTTGATTCGGATTTACAGAAGCTCTCAAATCTTCATGTAGCCGTTGAAGATTTGAAAAGCAAAGTGGAGAGAGAGGAAAGAAGCGAGAAAGGAAAAGAAGACGAGTACGAAACAGTTAAGGGACAGATCAATGAAGCAGAGGAAGCGTTAGAGAAACTTCTAAGCATCAATAAGAAACTGGTGACAAAAGTAGTAAACGGATTTGAGATATCAGATGGAAGCAAATCATCAATGGAGCTTGATGAGAATGAGAATAGCAGAAGGCGGCGAATATCAGAGCAAGCGAGAAGAGGATCAGAGAAGATTGGGAGGTTGCAGTTGGAGATACAGAGGTTACAGTTTTTGTTACTGAAGCTGGAAGGAGAAAGAGAGGATAGGGCGAAAGCTAATGTGTCGGATAGTAAAACGAGGACTCTTCTTAAGGATTATATCTATGGTGGAGTGAGAGGTGAGCGACGGAAGAGGATGAAGAAGCGGTTTGCGTTTTGTGGGTGTGTGCAACAACCACCTCCATCTCCTTGATCGTTTTGAAACTAGTTAAAAGCATAATAATAATAATATTCATGTGAATGAAAGTGAGTTTAAGTTTAATATATGAATATGCCAAACATATTTTTTAATATATGTTACTGCGTTTGGAAGATTTTAAACGAAAAACTTGTATATTGCATATGGCTGCAAGTTCATTTTGTTGTTTTTTGGTAAGTCCTTTCTTGTAGAATTAAACTAGACTTGGGTAAAATAAATGATTTTGGCTTTACAAATGAAGGTTCCTATTTGAGGATTTTGCATCAGAAAGTCCATTGTTACTGATACTGAATATATAAGTTGATTATTTGCATTTCTAAAGTAACTTTGGCTTTTGTTTTCAAAATTTTGTTTTTATTCAACTTTTGATTTTAACAAAATGGACTTCTTTATTCTTTTTTATACTATCCATAATGGTTTTAAAATTCAATATCCTCCATTTCATCTTTTAACACTCCACTTTATCTTCTCTTTCTTCCACCTCATCATTCAACACACATTCAACTTTTATCCACTACAATTGTATTGTTTAATAAATTTCAAGACCTTAATTTTTTAATTAATAATTTTTTTCTATATCCAAATTAAATAAACCTAATATTTATTTATAGGGAATTTAAAATAATTTTTTTTGTATAAAAAATAAAAATAAAATATTTAATTTATAATAAGATTATTGATTTTAAATAAGGAAGAGGATATGAAAATTTCAAAAAATCTTAAAAAGTGACATGTGTCATCGATGGCCTCCACTTTCATCTTATTCAACATGTTGAATCTTTTCAACACAGTTTAATCCACATCATTAAATTTCATTTTTCAACATTCTCATTGTAGTGATTCAACTGCTGAATCTTTTATTCAGCACCCCCATTGTAAGTAGTCTATGAGAAACTAGTTTTTTCTTGTTTAAATGTTTTATACCCAAGAGGTAAAAAAGTTGATTGTTTCCAAAATTTGGAATTGTTTTTAATTTTTGTTCTTCTAAAAACATTGTTCATCCAATCAAATTAAAAATGGATTTCTAAAAATTAAACTAGTTTTTTTTTGTTAAAATGACTGTCTATTTCTAAACAAAAGTGAAAATCTATTTTTTAAGTTTTGTTGCTCAAAAATAATTTTACACTTATTTATTATTTTTATAGTATTTAATACCAGATTAAAACAAAAACATGGTTTTAAGACAATACATCCATCCAAAAAGAAACATTAAATCGAGTACTAATTAAAGAAACTCTGAATTGAGGTGGTTAGAGAAATATGTGATGCTTAAGGTAATCAATTATCTTCAAACAAAAAAAATCACCAACCCCACAAAAATGAAAATAGTTTCTAACTGGTGATGAAAACCAATGGCGGACCCAGCTCTATTTTTAAGGGGTGTCAAAAATTTGGGCTTTATCCCAATTTAAAACATTTTTAATAAAAATCAGTAAAAAGTGGGCATTAGAAGAGTTCGAACTGAGGAATGGGGGGTCAGGAAAGAAACCTCTTAGCCAACTAAGCTACGTTCTGGTCATGGGAATTGAATAAACTCACGAATATTTATATTTAACCTATTGCAGGTGACACCCCTTTATGCTACATGGATCCGCCTCCGATGAAAACCAAGCAGAAGATTATGTAGTAAGAACTTCGAAGACTGGAGGACCGGCGAGGAGAAGACCACTGAAGATAAATTAGAAGTTGAGAAGCACCAAGAATAGTCTGAGGCTGTTGCAGGAGGAGCAATATTTTGATGCTCAACCATTCTCACTTGCTAATAATAATGAGCATCTTTATGTATAATCGTATACTTAATGCATTTTACATCTATGATATTAATGAAACCTACCTTAGGGTTGTCTAGTAAATGCTAATAATAATGACTCTCTAAACACATACTTATGTGATATGTAGAGCATTTTACATCTATGCTAATTATAACAAATTTTTAGTGTAGTAAAAATTGTCACAATGTTTGAAAGATATTTTTTTCTTATAATAAACTGATGTTCACATTTATTTTTTCGCTTTAATCTAGTAAAATAAAAATAACTAATATTAAAATTGAACCTTACTAATTAAATAAATTTAAGTATTCACAATTAGTTATTACAAAACAATTTGTATACTGTTGATAGCTTTTTGTTCAGTACACTATTATATATGTACTATAAACCTTATAGCAAATTTAGTTATATTTTAGTTACATTATTACACGTTTAGTGTATAATTTATTGTTTGTATTTTGAAAATATACCTATTAATATATTTTTTTAAAACATGCTTATGTGTTTTGATGATATTATTTTGCATTCCAATTTTTCTAAGATAATTATTGATAATATTTTATGTTACTAATTTATAAAAAATCCAAACTTTAAAATCACCATTTGAGATTTTCAGAAAACTAAAAAGTACAGCAAAATAAAAATTCAAAAATAAAACTCACCAAAATAATAGATAAAAGCTGTGGAAATTAACAATCATCGTCAAAATTTATGTTCTAATGGTTTTCTCCAACTATAAGGTTTTTTATATTTTTCAACTATTATATACTGCATGAAACCATAAATGAATACAAATAGTATTTGTTAGGTGATGATTGGTTCGACTTTAGCTATAAAAATTTAGTTGTAAAAGTTTAGATGTAGGTAAGTTGGTTGTCAATGTAAAGCTGTTACTGTAAATTTTACTGCAGAGACTTTTGCTGTAATTAAATTTGTTGTAGCTGTAAGGTATATGCTGTAGACATTTCAAAATAATATATGTGATGTATATATAAAATGGTTGTTGTTATCAACTAAGATATTTGTATTATTGATTTCTATATATTATCAAAGTTTATTGTTATTTAAAGTGTGATATGTAAATAATATTTTATGTTATTTAAAATATTTGAATAATTTTGAAAACACCCATAAATAAATTAAAATATTGATAGATATTTTTATTATGATTATCTAATTAATTTGATATTATAGATATTTTTTTCCATTTTTTCAGTTTCTACCGCCTATAAACAAAGATGTAGGTGTTTTGCCTAAAATACATAAAAATAAATTTGCTTTAATTTTTTTGCTGTAGTTTTAAAAATAAAGCTAAAGTATGATTGGTACAAGTTAATAGAAATATGTTGTAGACTTTGACTAACAAAAGTAAAGTTACAATATGATTGGTAAAGTTTAGTGTGTTAGAAATAATTAAAGTTAAAGTAAGGAGATAAAGTCCAATCAATCACCTTCATAGTTACTAGCAAAGCAGATTTACATTTATTGACCAAGATGTTTTAGAAAGTTTATGTTGTTTCAAAATATAAATTATCCAGATTTTTTTATAACTTGTTGAATAATTTTTAAAATATATCATTAAAAGTATTTTTAAAATGAAAATAAATATCTTAATCTCTGTGCAGTCAACAAAAATATCTTATAAAAAAACGAAGGAAGTATATCTTTGTTTGATGACTATTTAACGCCATTTCTTTTTCTGATTGTTTAATATATGTGACATCAACATTTTATTTAAAATACCTAAAGCCACAATTTGCTCACATTGTCATATATAATAAACAAAATGGTCCAACGTTTCATTTATTTATAAATAATATAATATTAGCTCAGAATACACATTATATAGAGAAATTAATCCTATATAAATAGAGCAATCAAACTCGACACTTTAAAATTTATGTTGAAAATTTCCAAACTAGATAATTGTCTATTCAAATAATTGTTCTACACGACCAAACAACGATAATGTAATTGTTATGGGATTAACATCTAGTATTATAATTTTGAAAACACATACACCTTTTTCTTAGAGAGGGAAAAAAGTAAGTTTTGGTTATAAGTTTTTTTTTTTGGAGTATTAGGTTAGGAGTTATGACTAGTTGCACCAAAAATAAAGAAGAATGAACTAAGAATCAGTTTAAGAATCCATGAAGAGTTGTATACTTTGTGTGTTTTAGTAAAAGATAAAGAAGTTATTTGATTGAAATTAGACATAAACATGTCAATGTGTATCATCTCTAAACATGCTTATTTGACAATTTGAATACGCATTCAACTATTAGATACAAATTATTTTAAAGAACGAACATCAAGTCAACCATTGCTACTTTCACGTATTAGATCTCAAAGTATATATCCTGATATGTTAATATACCTTGACTTGGCTTATTGTCTGCGCCATCTCTACATAACATTCGTAGTTGTTGGGTTGCAATTGCAAGACTCAATAGGGTCAAAACAGAAATATAAATTATAGCGGGTTCATAATAGTAGAAAACAAAAACAAGAGGGCTAATAAAGTAACGAAACGAGAGAGGAGGAACACGGCGCGGAGAGACGCCGTCAGCAAAAAAAAAAACAGCAGAATAACAAAAAAATAATAATGACGAAAGCAGGAAGAAATTTGAAAACTTATATCATTAATTAAATTAAAATAAAAGTAATTTTCTTGTGTGCTAATGCTAAGCTCCTTTTCTTCCTAATTTGTCAAAATAGGTTTGCTCTCTCATAGGGATTGAATTCAAAGTGTTTTTTGGATTTTAAGATCTTTCAGCTTGCCACGAAACCCTAATTTGAGACATTATACTCTAATTTGATCTCAAAAGAGTCTTCTTTGTTTCTATAATTCAAATTCACTTGGCGTCATTTTAGGATATATTTATTTTTTGTTTGTTTGTTTGTTTGTTTGCTTCTGGTGAGCGATGAGAGTTTTGAGTTGATTTTGTTTTTCTGATCGGCGACTCGACTCGGATCTGGTCGTCGGATGAAAGTGGAGAACCATGAAATGGTCAACATTGCTTAAAGACATCAAGGAGAAGGTTGGTTTAGCTCAATCCGCTGACTCCTCTACCTCCGATGCGCTTCCCGTTGACCTAACTGCTCCGCCGTCTCCCTTCTCCCCTCCGTCTCTTACTAACGCCGGCGAGTCTTCTCGCAGTGACTTCAACTCTTCTCCTTCAAGGTATATCCCTTTTGCCTGATCTGGTTTGTGGTTTCAGATGTTGCTAGTTTAGATTGCTTTATAAGTGATCAACAACTAAGTGGATAGTCTCTTTTAGATTGCTTTATAAATTATCAACCAAGTGGATAGTGTCTATTTTAGATTGCTTTATTGCAACATTTGTGGTGCTAGATTTTGTGATTTAAGATTTTGATAAATAAGAGTCTGAGGCTGCTGCTACTTACATTGTATAAGTCTTTTAGTAGAAATAGAACAAGCCTATTGATTAATTGTTGTAAAACAATTGACAATCCTCTTTTTTTTTTTTTTTACTTATTGAAAGCAGAGAACACCATGAGTTGGAACTGGACTTCAAGAGGTCATGGGAAGAGTTCCGTTCCTCAAGTTCTGAAAAGGTTCTTTCTTTGGATATTCCATACTGATGATTTTTGCTACTTGTTCTTTTTTTTTTTTTACAGAATGACTTACGTGGAAATTAGTTTCTCTTTTTGCATTTTCTATATCTGATCTGCTTACAAAAAAGACTAGCAAGTAACTAATGCTAATCGTTCATATGTCACACAGGAGAAGGAAGCCGCCTTGAATCTCACCGTCGATACGTTTTGTAGATTAGTCAAGCGGAATGCTAATATAGATCAATTAGTTACAATGTAAGCTATTCCTCTCTCATTCTGGTTGGATATACCTTGAAATGGGGTTTCTTGTTTCGTTAGCATTTGCACCAAATTAAAGTGTCTCCGAGTCTTTACATCTTTTGAATTATTAGGGTGAAAAATACGTTTCTCAACCTGCATGTTATTCCCCTCTCCAGCAGCTCCTCATCTGTACTTTATATTTTATGACCGCAGCTCAGATATGGTAATATCACCTATATTGAGAAATTTATTTTGATTGCAGGTTAGTAGAAACACATATATTCTCTTTTGTCATCGGGAGAGCCTTTGTGACAGATATTGAAAAGTTGAAGATCGGCAGCAAGACACGGTCATTGGATGTAGAGAGAATATTAAGATTCTTTTCAGATGTCACCAAGGTTTGCCTTTTTCTAAATATTCTGCATCGTGACATGCCAACCTCTCTTCTCTATTTTTAATACATGATTTCTTCCTGCAGGAGGGGTTTAGTCCTGGTGCAAACCTTTTGACTGCTGTTGAAGTACTTGTATCTGGGGTAGTCTTTTTTTACCTTTTCCAGTTTACCCACTCCATAAAATGCTCAATTTATCCAGTATGCTGGACTTTTATCCCTTATTATATAATGTGTTTCCTCCTAAACGCCTTGTATGTGTTCTTTTCAGCCAATCGATAAACAATCTCTTCTGGATTCTGGAATATTCTGCTGTCTAGTACACGTTTTCAATGCGCTTCTAGCATATGATGAACTAAGCAAAAGTAAAATAACTGATTTGGAAGAGAAATCAGCGGACAAAGATGCTGGATATAAAGTACTACAGACTAGACGACTTGAGGTTCTGTTTCCATTACTTCGTTTTGAGCTGGATATTGACAACTAAAGTTTAAACTGCACCTATGCATCATCAGTTCAATAAATACTTTGCGCCCCCTCATTCTTGTAGGTGGAGGGTAGTGTTGTACATATTATGAAAGCATTAGCAAGCAATCCTTCTGCGGCCCAGAGTTTGATTGAAGATGACTCTCTTGAGTTGCTTTTCAATATGGTTGCCAAAGGCTCCGTTACGGTTTTCTCTCAATATAAAGAAGGTTTAGTCCCTCTCCATACGATTCAGCTTCACAGACATGCAATGCAGGTATTTTTCGTGCATCTATTTTAGAGTACTGCGTTGAACGGCTTTTTAGCTTGACGGTTGAAACTGGATGGTTATAGTTTCATTAACGCCCTTTCGTGTCTCTTCCAGATCCTTGGACTTGTTCTTGTCAATGATAATGGGAGCACATCAAGATATATACGCAAGCACCACCTGGTATGACAATGAATTATG